TAAATACGAACAGAATAAAACTATAATGGAAATCTTATGAATCATAAAAGAGAAGGGTTAGGAAGATATTAATGGGAGGATGGAACTCATTATTTAGGAAATTTTATTGATAATCAAATGTGTGGATTTGGTAAAATGATCTATAAAGATGGAAGAAAATATTTTGGATATTGGAAAAATAGTTAAATGAATGGATATGGATAATTTGAATGGCCTAATGGATAAATATACATTGGTTCTTACAGTAAAGATCTAAAAAATGGATTTGGTATGATTATTTTAAATGGGAGAGTTGAAATCAAACAATTTTAAAATGGTAAATATCTTTCGAAGAGTACAGATACTGACAATAGATGCTGATAGTTTATGATTAAATATAGTTTTAAAATTATTCAATATAATATTAAATAATTTATGAAAATTTACTAAAAATTGATGCAAAATTTAAAATAATATTCTTTGTTTATTGAGTTCTGTAATAAAATAATTTTTCATATCTTGATATTTGAAAAATCGGCACTTCTAACAACCTTCTCTGCTGATTCAGCAACTTCTTATTCTCTAATATATTCATTTTTCATGTCTTAATATATTTTAGTTTCTTCAGCATAGCTATCATTTTCTATATTCAATTATGATTAAAATCTCTATCTATCAGCATCTCTTTATGCTGAATATTCAGTTAATTCATTAATTTTAGCTATTTATTATATATAATAATATACTTATTGTAGCTTCTAAATCAACTGTAATTTTACTAATTTATTTACCAAATTCTGAGAATTCGTGATCTAATTATTAAACTCTTTCTTCAAATTCTTTTTAATTTTCAGCCTCTAATGCAGTAGCATCATTAATAGCATCAACAACAGCATTTCTAAATTCATTCAATTTATCTAAAATAGTTCCAACAATATCTTAATTTGAGAAATTTTATTCATTTGCTAATTAAATTAATGCTTTAATTAATGGTCCATGTTTGCTATGAGCTCTAATTCTTTATTCAATCATATTTAATTAAACATGAATTTTTCTAATATTTGATGATGAAACTTATCCAAGAGATTAATTTCTTAAACTGTAAAGTAATTCTAAAGCTTAATCAGTTGATTCAACAGCTGAGTTAAAATCTGCAAGTTGTGTTTCAAATTCTTCTTTTTCATTTTCTCTTTTTAATTCAGCTTCAGCCAAAGTTTTTCTAATTGAATTTAATATAATATTAATACCTATTGGCTTCTTAATATTCTTGAATTTATTCAATTTTGTTTTTTAAATTTTCTCTTCTTGGATAAAGTAAATTATCAAGAGTATCTTAAGTTCTTTAATAATCAAGTATGGCTTAATTAATTTCTTATTCTAAGGTAGTGACAATTTTATGATGTTCATTGGTTCTTTGATTAAAGTTGAATTCTAAAACATCTAATTCTTCTTATAAATCAGCAACTAAGTCTTCTATGGCTTAGACTAATTCATCAACTGGTCCTTATGATTATGAATGTAATGCCATCATAGATAACAATGTTTAACCCCATTTAGATTTATGTAAGTCTTCAATATGTTTATGAATTGTTTTTTTATCGAAATGGGCTGCCATACTAAGGGCTAGCAATAATCCAATGATGATAATAACCTTCATTAATTTATATAATATATTAAAAACGAATTTCCATTATTTAAGGTTTTAATTTATTTATAACATTTAACTTACTTTAATATAATATTTTTAAGAAACATGATTAAATTTATAAAAAGCCTTGACTAATTTGGAGCATCTTTCTAACCTAATATCTATTACACATCATCAGAATACAAAACTGTTTAAGGAGGATTGATGTCTGTCTTACTTTATGGTTTAAGTTTTTCATACCTAATTTATATGATAATATAATGGTAAAGTGGATAAATATTACCAAAAATTACTACCTTATCAAATTTTGAATAAGATTACAAATTGGAATTATTAGAGAAATTTATATCAGTAGAAATGAGGAAATACTAATATACATTCATAGATCCATTTAACCCAGAAGCTTTAATTCTTTAGCCTGTTATCTATCATTTTATTAATGGATAATCTCCTACTCAAGGATATCCTCAATAATTTAAGAAGAAAACTAATATGTTCGATTTCCATATTGTTGAAGTTCAAAACCTAACAATACAGACTAGTAGTTAATTCTCCAATGATAATCCTTAAATTGAAATGATGCTAGTTTTAGGTTAGTGTTTAGACTTTTATTTATAAGAGGGATAGAAATGTGCTAATAATGAAACAATTAAAAATTTTTTTGATTAACAAACTAATACACTTATAGTCAAATAATCTAAAAAAGAATTCAATACTAATACTGCTACCTTAGAAGATATTGATAAAGAATTAGTCATTCCTCTAACAAAAGATAGTACATTTTTTGCTTAAATTATTACTAAGATTTCAAATACATAAGTTGATTAAGGATTTTTATTTGAAAGTTTTGATGAGTATGAATATATCACTGATTATTAAGTTACTGCTAATTCTATGAATAAACAATATTTTGGTTAAAAATTAGGTTATGAAACCTATGCTGTATTTTATTATTAAGTTGATTAAATTCAAAATACATCATAAATTAGTTATCCTAAAATTAGTGAAGTTTTAGCAGATGCTGGTTCTATTGCATCAACTCTTTTATTATTATCCTATATTGTTATACTCATGAATCAAAGTTATCTATAATTTGAAGCTGTCAATCATGTCATTGAAATGTATTATCCACAGTTCAAAAATTTCAAAATTATTAAAAATGTCTTTGGCAAAATAATTAGAGTTGAAAATAATGGAAAAATTGTCAATCTTAATCTATTCTTTCCTTATTATGAAAAATTAAGGAAAATTGGAGAAATGAAACTCACTATTTCTAATCAAATTTATGAAATATCTAGAATACAGTTTATACTTTAATTTTAGTATTCAAATAAATTTATTTCTAAATTTCATTAGGTTGGCATCCCTTTATAAAATCTATCTTAGGATTCAATCTTAATTAAAGAAGAAAATTAATCTAAATTAGACAATAGCATTATTATACAAGAATAAAACTATAAATCTAATCAAATAGTAAGATATTTTAACATATTAGATACCTAATGTAGAAAGTTAAGATTTTTAATTCAAGTAAGATATTATCTCCAGAAAAGAATCTAATCTGATGTTACATCCTGTAAAATAGGAGGAAAATTCAAATGATCATTCTAGTTAAATCAAACAAGATGATTATCTAAAACTTAATGAACTTAACTTAAAGGATGAAGATTTTGAATTATTAACAATGCAAGAAACATATGTTTAATTAGAAGAAAAAGAATTAAACTCAAAGGATTCAGAATAAGTGCAACAATTGTAGCATGATCAAACTAATGTAGATTTAATAAAATAGAAATAACCAGAATGAATATATATTATTGTAATATAATAAATAATTCATATATAAAATTAAAATAATTTCCATAACTTTTAATATTTTTTTAAAATTTTATTCCTTAGAAAATTTTCTTCAATCACTACTTCTAATATATTTAAATTAATGCATTATAAATCGTTAATCTCTTATAAAGATGTACAAAAAACAAAAAATTATTGATTTTATTAAATATAATCAAAAATAATAATATAAATAAGTTATACTTTAATTAAAAGAATCAGTAGGATAGAAAAATATTATTATTCAGATAAAAAGAATATAAGATCATATTGAAGCTTAATATGAAGATTTTATTAAAAAAATAAAAGGAATCTATGAAAAAGAGAGGTTAAATTATAAAAAAGTGAAAATCGTTTGAGTAAACTAATTTAGACAATCTGAAAGGTTTCAAGACCTATTTAATTCAATAAAATTTTGGTTTTTTTTTCCTTTAACAGTAATTTATTTATCAATAAATAAATTTATACACTTAATAAAGTAAAAAAATAATCATTAGTTTAGTTGTTTTATTTTCAATCATAGAAAGAAGATCTAAAGGATCTTAACGATCTCATTTGTTTATTATGAATAAATTATCTTTCTGAATTGTTATTGCTTAATATAATTTTTTCTTATTGATCAAATTATATTTTTCTGGGCGAAATAAAATAACTATTTTTATTAATTTTTTTCATTTTTTCCTTTAAGAGTTCAAATTTCTTTTCATCATCTTCCTTATTCTTCTAATGTTTTGTTATTTTTCTATGTTAAAATATTTTATGTAAATCTTCCTTACATCTTTAATTAGTGGCGTTCTTATTTTAAGATTAAATGATTTTATTAACACTATTGCTATAAGGGTTTGGTTCATGCTTTATAATGGTACTTTTGCTTCTTTGAGTCTTGCTTTTTTCATCTTCTAAAAAATTTAAACTTTAACTTATTAATTAGTATATAAGCTTCCCTAAAGAATTTTGCTATTGAGGTATTAATTGATAAAGCTTTTTGCACATAATAATATTTGCATAATCAATTTTCTTCTCAATAATTGTCTCCACCATCTAGGGTAAACTGCAACTCATTAACAATTATGCCAAAAGCCAATCTTATATTTTTACTCCTTTAACCAATAAGATAAAAGCTTAAACACATTAAAATACATCTGTAGCAGGCTTTGCAATCTATATTTTAATGAAAAAACTATTACTAGAAACTTGTTTTTATTCAGTTATCTAGCCAATTATCTTAAAGTTTCCTAAGTCATTTACAAGATAATTAATATTATAAAAAAATTATCCAAACAGAAATTCAAAACTGTAATAGTTATTTAAATACAAAATCAATCTAAGTACAATACAACCATAATTTCTAATTAAATTAATGAAATAACTAATTACATCAAAAAGTTATACTGTCAAACTTTTTTTGATGAACTTAAAAAAATAATAAATTAAAATACATAATTATTGAATATGATTTTTACAAACATATACATTGAAAATTAAAAAACAGGCAAAATTTAATACAAAAACTATTTTAAATTAAAAAAGTAAGAAACATTAATGCATATGTTTTTTATTCTAAAATAATTATATTAATATTTGATAATTTATTTAAAAAAAAGTTCAGACAACAAAAAGAATTAATAAAACAAATGTCGATATTAATTTATAATTATCAGCATAATTTAAGTAGATTATGTAAATCATAATATTTTATTAAAATAAATAATTAAATCAATGATGATTATTGTCATATTATCTTTTTTATAATTAGTTTATTATTTTAATGCTGATTCTAGTAAATATTGAGAAAGACCTTCTTTTTCATTGAAATTTTCCCAATTTAAAAGAAGTTTTTAGAGGGTTTGTATAGTAATCACATCCCAAAATCCATCTGTTGCTAGAATTAAATATTTAGATTTTTCATTTAATTACAGCTTAGTAATTTCAGGAATAGCAGTTAAACCATGTTCAATATATTTTGGATCTCCAAAAGATCTACTTACTGCCAATTCACCATTAATTCTAGCCTAATTTCTATTTAATTGTGTATATACTTAATGGTCAATACAAATCCATGGTTATCAGTAATTCTTTTAGATTCATCTAATCTATCAGGTTTATGCTCTTAATTTAATTTAGTTATTTAGTAATCTTTGTCAATCAATACACAAGCACTATCACCAACATTGATTACAAATAGTTCTTTACCTACATTAATAACACATAAAGCAGTTGAACCTCCATCTTTCATTAAAATATGTTATTATTTAAGAATATCAATATTCATTTAATTGAAACCTAATTTTGGAGCTAATATATTATTGAATACTTTCTAAAATAGCTTATTCAAGATCAATATTGAAAAACTAATTATTTTTTAATTGAAAATGTAATTGTTCTCTAAGTAATTTAGCTACATAAGATCCCCCATGACCATCAAAAACTCCAAAATAAAATTACTATTATTTTCCATCAAAGTCTGCAATAGCTTAAAACTAATAAATTATTATCATTTAAATTTACTCTATCCTCCATTGTAATTCTTCCACATCTTTTTGCACTAACTTCACCATAAGTTATATTATCAATTTTAATAACATCATAATAATCATAATATTCCCTTAAACAATATATATTTTAAATACTTGCCATCACTATCTAAGTAAGGAGAAGTTTTCTCTGAAGAACTGGAGCTCTTTAATTCAATTTTTAAATTAAAAGTCTTTTTCATACAGTGCAACCAATATTTAAATATAATAATATATAATCAATTAATTTATCTATTCCTTAGCTTATAAGTTGATTATGTTAATTTGATCTTTTTAGTGATATTTGGTTCTTGTTCAGGATTTGGATTTTGACTGCCTAAATTTGATGATGGTTAATTATAATCAATAAATTTATATATGGCTTCTTAATACCCTTCTAATGATATTTTGCCATAATCATATTTGTCCATTTCTTATAAAAGTTGATCCCAATAATTTTCATCTTAAACTTAAATTTTCCCATTAAAAATTTTTTTAATTTCATCAATTTCTAGCATTTTAATTAACTTTAAGTTAATCATGAGATGCTAATTTTTTCATATCAACTGCAGCTGTCAAAAATTCAGTTAATTCAATATATCCATTTTTATCAGTATCAACTCTAGTAAATAAATCCTCAACATCAATATCATCATTAAAATTTATTTTTAATTCTTTTATACTTAATTTTCCATCTCCATTCTTATCAAGTTCCTAAAAGGCTTATCTTAATTATTTATATTTTTCTTAAGTTAAATTTTATTATATCATAAGATGAAAAGTAGCTTAAACCATTTTACTTTCGCAACAAAATCGTGACAACTTTTAAAGTCTATATCTCTTAAGATGAGATTTCTTTCGTTACTGATTTACTTTAATTTTATATCCATTCATTTTCTAAAACTTATTAAGCACTATATCTTTTAATGGGATTAGATTCTAATAAGTTTTTTAGTAGATTCTTGGCATCATTTGAAATTGTCTTCGAAACTTTCTGTTTCAATGTAATTTTTGATGATACGATATTCTTTTCTATTTCTCCTGTATTATCTCCTGGAAATGGAACTTCTCTAGATAAAAGAATATATAAAATAACACCACAAGACTCTAAATCACATTTCTTATCATATCCTTTTTCTAAAAGAACTTCTGGAGCTGCATAATCAATTGTTCCAATTTTCTATTTAACAAAAACAACATTTGTCATATCTTTACTAAGTCCCCATCTATAATTTTTATATGTTAATCTGAAGGATCAATTAGGATATTTTCAGGTTTAATATCACGATGTATAATATTCTTTTCATGAGCATATACAATAGCATTTAAGATCTATTTGAATATCTATCTGACTTCTTCTTCAGAAAATATATAGCTTTATTTTATTCTTTTGTGGATTTCATCAAATAATTCTACACCTTCACATAGCTGACTTACTATATAATAGAAATCATCATCTAAAGCTATTTCATAAACAGCCATAATATTTGGATGATCAAGTTTCTTCATATTCTCAATTTCATTCTGATCTGTAAAGTCTTTTTTTGCTATTATTTTTAATGCTCTTAATTCATTTGCCTAATTTTTCACTTTGTATACTTTACCACAACTACCTTACCCTATAAGACTTATTCTTTGATATCTCTATAAATATCATTTTTTATATTGATAATTAAATTTCCTGAATTGACTAACATAAATTTATTAATGGCCTAATTGACTTATATTAGTTTACATTTCAAAATGGTAATTTTAGGTATGGCCAACATTGGTAAAATTTATTTATTCAATTCTATGTAGATTCAATATGCTAAGTAAACAATTTTATTCCAGCAGAAAATTGCCCATTTTGCACTATTGATCTAAATTAAGCAGTAATTTAAGGTATCTGATCCTAAATTTAAATATCTTTGTCAGATTTTTAAACTTAAATCATAGATTATCTCTACTCTATGAATCATCGATATTGCAGGATAATAATCCATGCAAAATAGTTTAGTTAAAGGAGTATCTTAAGGATATAGATTAAGAATGAATTCTTAGCCCACATTTAAGCAGTTAATAGATTATATCAGGTTTTTAAGGGAATTTGAAGAGGAGACTTACTGAAGGTANCGTTACTGATTTACTTTAATTTTATATCCATTCATTTTCTAAAACTTATTAAGCACTATATCTTTTAATGGGATTAGATTCTAATAAGTTTTTTAGTAGATTCTTGGCATCATTTGAAATTGTCTTCGAAACTTTCTGTTTCAATGTAATTTTTGATGATACGATATTCTTTTCTATTTCTCCTGTATTATCTCCTGGAAATGGAACTTCTCTAGATAAAAGAATATATAAAATAACACCACAAGACTCTAAATCACATTTCTTATCATATCCTTTTTCTAAAAGAACTTCTGGAGCTGCATAATCAATTGTTCCAATTTTCTATTTAACAAAAACAACATTTGTCATATCTTTACTAAGTCCCCATCTATAATTTTTATATGTTAATCTGAAGGATCAATTAGGATATTTTCAGGTTTAATATCACGATGTATAATATTCTTTTCATGAGCATATACAATAGCATTTAAGATCTATTTGAATATCTATCTGACTTCTTCTTCAGAAAATATATAGCTTTATTTTATTCTTTTGTGGATTTCATCAAATAATTCTACACCTTCACATAGCTGACTTACTATATAATAGAAATCATCATCTAAAGCTATTTCATAAACAGCCATAATATTTGGATGATCAAGTTTCTTCATATTCTCAATTTCATTCTGATCTGTAAAGTCTTTTTTTGCTATTATTTTTAATGCTCTTAATTCATTTGCCTAATTTTTCACTTTGTATACTTTACCACAACTACCTTACCCTATAAGACTTATTCTTTGATATCTCTATAAATATCATTTTTTATATTGATAATTAAATTTCCTGAATTGACTAACATAAATTTATTAATGGCCTAATTGACTTATATTAGTTTACATTTCAAAATGGTAATTTTAGGTATGGCCAACATTGGTAAAATTTATTTATTCAATTCTATGTAGATTCAATATGCTAAGTAAACAATTTTATTCCAGCAGAAAATTGCCCATTTTGCACTATTGATCTAAATTAAGCAGTAATTTAAGGTATCTGATCCTAAATTTAAATATCTTTGTCAGATTTTTAAACTTAAATCATAGATTATCTCTACTCTATGAATCATCGATATTGCAGGATAATAATCCATGCAAAATAGTTTAGTTAAAGGAGTATCTTAAGGATATAGATTAAGAATGAATTCTTAGCCCACATTTAAGCAGTTAATAGATTATATCAGGTTTTTAAGGGAATTTGAAGAGGAGACTTACTGAAGGTATGCAAAAATAAATTGATTAATTATATTCTATTTTTTCATTCAAATAATAAAATTAAATACAAAAAAAATATTTATGCATTTTTCATTCTTAATACTATGGATTTTGTTAGGGACTTATAAATTATATCTGAAGAATTGATGGCTAAAGATTATTAATTTGTTTCAAAGAGAGTTAATTAAATTTGGCAAAAAAATTAAAAAGTATGAAGCAAATAAAATGTTTCAAATGAAGGGATGGTTTAATTATTTAAAGGTCTTACAAAAGTGTTATAAACTCTTAAGAAAGAAATAATGGGTTCTATATCAAAATGGACTGATTAAGAATAAATTTATTTAAGAAAGATTCAATTGTTAAAAGCAAAACTATCATTTTATTTATTTAATTTTTTCAAAGAATTGCACAATGTTCATATGGTAATGAAATAAAATAAGTATGATGGTTGCTTAATTATTTGGTTTGATAAGGTTTTTCACTGTTAAATGAGATGAAGTCAGAAATTGGACTATAAAGAAAAATCTTAAAGCTCCTAGTAAGATTTAATAATATTATTAAAAAAGGATTTACTAATGCTGAAGCTTTGTCTTTTAAGAAGTTCAAAAATTAGGAGGAAATTTTTAGATTAGTATGAAAATAAGTTTTCAAAAGAAGGAAAGGATTATATAATTAAAGATGGTGATATCATTGATTTAAAAATTAAATAATTTAAATATGTCTGAATGTGTGTTTATATTTAGAATTATTATAGAAATAATAATAGTCTTTGATCATATATTTTTGAACTATATAGATATCAAATAAAGTCTAACTTTTATTATTGCTACTATGTTGATTGTTATGGTTATGATTTTTAGCCTACTGCCAAATTAAGTATATTATCAAATTCATTTTCTGGTTTCTTTTATTAAGAAGAAACATCTAAAATAAGAATAAAGTCTTACTACTGATCACTGGATATTATTGTTAAGGATATCCTTATTATTAATAAGGTTGATTTTATGAATATGGTTAAGTAGGTTGCTATTAAAATGCTTAATACTTATTTTGTGGTTATCCAAACTATTATGGTTGATATAATTATTGTAACTTTCAATAAAATAAAATTAATACATTTTATTATTGAGGATATTATTATTAATTAACAAATTGTTATTGTTGATTTGGAACTTATTATTATGTAGAGAATGCATTCATTGCAGGAACTTATTATTAAGGAGGGAATGCATTCATTGCAGAATAATTAGATTAGAATGGGACTTAAGAAGTATTAGGGGGTTGTCCATAAAGTTAGGATTACACTGGTGCTTATCCATAAAGTTAAGATTAAACTGGTGGTTATTAATATTATTAGAGAGTTGGTGTTTATGACAAGGATGAAATTTATTACAAAGGAGGAACTTATGAAACAGGTGGAAGTTATGAATTAGGAGGTATTTATGATTATGGAATCATTGATCCTAATTATTATTATTATGGCTCAGGATTTGGCATGTCTACTTCAAATAAATCGATTCTTTATTAAACTATAAATAGGAAGTTATTACATATTTTATTATTTTTCAGGTTAAACAGCTTAAGTTTGTTAAGGTCCTTTTTATTATTAAACTGCTGGTTTTGGTTCATCATATTCAAATAAATTTAGCAAATCAATTTATTAAGGTTTAGTCTAAGGAGGTTGTTAGATTGATTATGTTTATGTTGGTTATTAAATGGGAGGAGGAATACTAAAAGGATTTTATTGTTATTAGAAAGGACTAGGTTGAACATTTTATGGTTGTGCGAATGGTTATTAATTTTGTTGTTATTGTTATTATTATTATTGTTATTGTTATTATTATTATTATTATTATTATTATTATTATTATTATTACTATTCAGGTCTGAATGGTTCTGGTTTCTTATGCTTCTTTAAAATTTCGTATCTAGTGAAAGTCTATTAATTAATAAATTAAGAATATTACTCTGAGAAGATCATCATTTAATTCTAAACAAAAGCTCATTAAACCTTCATCATTATTACCCATATCAGTAATTAAACTAATCTTAAATTACAAGAGAATACTTTCTTAATTTTTCTTCTACTCCTCTCAAAGTAGTTGTCATATCTTTGAGGATTTCATTTTTACTGGCATCTTCTTGTGGATTTGCATTATCAATAATTTCCTAGAAATAGTATTTGAATTACATTAGTCAAAGTAATATTGGATTTGACAATGTCAAGATCACGTTTAAGTTTATCATTTTTGGAATTGCCCTTGAATTTTAAATAAGGAATTTCTTACAGATCCTAGACTATTTACTCTAGCACCAGATGAGTATGCTGGTTGTGCCTTTCTGAGAACCGCATATTTACTATCGTAATTGTTAGGTACTTGATCTAAAATAGATATACTAAAAGACAGTTACGTTTAGGAGAGATCTTTTGCAAAAATTGGAAGAAAGCAGGAAATAGATCCTGATGTGATTACATAAGTTATTTGAGTACTGCAATTACTTATAGTAATCTTTGTTACATCTATTGGGTAAATTAGAGAATTACTTAGGCATTCATCTATGGATTGAGGAGTGTATTTAGTCTTTATAGAAAGTCATTAGTAGCAATCTATGTATAGAAGGGTGTTTCACAAGTGAATGCAAGATATTCTATAAGCTCCATTGTAAGAGCTTACACCTTGCCATTACGAAGCTGCATAAGTCTCTTACCAATTGCCTAGACTGCAAATTTCGATCTAAGATTTGAATTAGAATCTTACTAGTCAGCTCTTTGATTGACTAAATCAGCTACCTATTTCATAAGTTTTTAGTCAGGCATTTATAATGTATCTGCAGTTGCCTCATTTACTGCTCTCTCAACAGGATTCTCCATCTTTTTTTAATTTAAATTTACAAAATATTAATATGAAGGGGGTGGACTTGGAAGAAGTCAGGCAAAATAGTTAAAGAGAGATATTAATTATATATATATATATAAAAATGGCATAAATTTCATAAAAGCAAAGAGGTGTCTTTTCAGAAGTGTTAGACCCTACTTTACCTAGTGAGTACAATGTCAAGAATTATAATCAGGGTCCAACTCCTGATTTGATTATGACTACAATAAGTCGATAAACAATTCCTAAGGCAATCTCCTTGCAACGGTTACAAACATCAAGCTCTAGCAGACAATAATTGCGATCTGATTTGGCATCTCGACAAATATCAAGGAATCAGTTGAAGACAAGATAGAAAAACGAACAAGTTACAAGTGTAGAACCAAAAGTAATTTACTTTGTGGCATTTTTTAGGTGATATTACCTTATGATCCTATTCCAGGAGAAGTCCCAAGAAAAGTAGCCATTGATAGAAAAAGAAAAGAGTTTCGATCACTGGATTTTAATAAATTGCTTCAAGAAGCTGGAATTGAATTTAAATAAAAAGATTAAAGTGTAGAATGGCTGAAATTGGAATATTTTGATGACACTACCTACGATGATAACAGTAACGAAGACTGGATACGTAGAGAAGAGGATGAAGAAGGAATAAAACATCCTCTTTTAGGTTTAGGATTGAGAGGAGATGAATATTAATATTTGGAGATTTTTGATTATAAAAATGAAAAATTTATTGGGAAATGGTTGAAAGATGATGTGAAATTAGATTTGCATAGATTATATATTTGTTTTGATGCAGAAGATCCACGTAAATACGTTAAGAGATTAAAAAATGCATTTTAATAGAGAATTTATGCAGATGCTCTGGTCAGATACAATTATTATATTGATAATATGTCATTGTTTGATCTAAGTGAATTAGATAATGAATAAAAGAAAAGAATAGAGTAAAATGCAAAAACAAAAAAGTTAGAGGCTATGGAAACTACTTAATTGCTTCTTGAAGTTAATATGGATTTCTAGAGAACAATGAACAAAATAATTTTTGATAAATATTTAGATGATGAATAACAAGATGAAAATTATCCTAAATTGAGATTACCTGCTAAAGAGAGAAAAAAAGAAGTTCGTTATTTTGGTTGGATGGAATTAGAAGCATCTAAGGGAGTTATGGAAAAATGGATGTTCAAATATGATGAGCCATTTATAAGAAAACCATTAACTTTTGATGAATTAAATAAGAATTTCGGATTCTCTACTTTATACGTGAGTCAAGAAGTTGTTAAGGCTTTGTAAGATATCAGACATGAATGCAATTAAGTGTTAAAGGAAAGTTTGTTTGATTTTTCTAAAAGAGAAGGTGCTTTACATTTAGATGAATATAAACATATGTAAGAGAATGCAACTACTTCATTAATGTATTAATTGAAAGGTACATGGGTACCTACAATGATTAAAATCATTAAAGATAGATTTGCTGATATTGGCAAAGGTTGGTTTAACATGAAAGAGACTTCTAAAATTACTTATGATTTCGGTAAATTGAAGCGTATGTTAACAGTTATTAGATTGATGATGTAAGATACCATAACGACATTGATGAAATCAAATTTTGATAGATACTAGAAGACAATTCAAAGTAATATACCTGTTAATGTTGATATAAAAAATACAGATTGGGTTTTAAATCATTATGACGATGGATATAAGGCAGATAATAGAGTTTAAGTTTTTAGTCATGATAGAAAATTACCTTTATTTTAAATAGAATTATTAGCAAAAGATGATTTCTTTTAATACACAACTAATCCTACTTTATATGTACTAATATCATTATAAGCCATGAAAAAAGCAGTTGATGAAATGGCAAAGATTCCAGATTTAGAACCAAGAATTTTGTCTGATTTACACAAATCTTAAAAATTAGAGACATTTATAAAAGCTCCTATGATGCCAATTTAAGAACCTGTTGAACCAGATCCTAATGAAAGACCTAGAAAATTCGCTGATGAAAATAAATGGGTTTGGGATACTTACTATAATGTTAAAGCATCTATTGAAGAAGCATTAAAACCATTAGAACAATACAAAATTGTTTTTAATAAATATATTCCAGTCTTAAAATTGAGACCAGATGATGTAGCTAGAGACATGGAACTTGAAGATCCTCCTAGAGAATTTGAATCAATTCGAGATGAAATTATTAAAGCAAATTAAAAAGAAAAATAATTAAATGAAGAAATATTGGATTCAATACATGTTGGAATGTTTGAAATTCATTTAAATGAAGCTAAAGGAATATTAATTGAAAGATATCAAGGACTTTAAAAAAACTTAATTGATCTTATTGCAAGAAGAGCTAGAAATACTAGCATTAGAATATTCTAAGAATTTGGAGATATCAAGAAAACAATTCTTGAAGAACCAGATACAATAGAGAAATTGACAATATTAAAAGAATATATTACTAATTTACCATAGGAGTTGGAGAAGATGAAAGTGAAGATGAATTAATTATTTGATGTTTTTAAGATGTTAGAAGAATTTAATTACAGATTTCCATTGGATGATTTTTAGAGAAGATGGAAGATATTTGGTAGTCCAAAAGAAATAAAAGAGATGGTAGAGGTGAGAAATGGTTAATTGGAGAAGTTGAAAGTGAAATTTTCAGATGATGCTAAAGTGTAATAGGAAGATTTCAGAGAATAAATAGAAAATTTGGAGAGAACAATTTAAGAATTTCATAAACATTAGGATGTGAGTAAAAATAAGGACATGGCAGAGGTTGTGGAGTATGTGATGAAGTAAATAAGTGAGTTTTAGGATTAAGCTAGTAAATTCAATATGCAAGAAGCATTATTTGATAAACCTTAAACAGATTATTCAAAATTGAATTCAATGTCTAGAGAATTTAAACCATATTATGATTTATGGTCAAGCACATATAAATTTAAGAGTGGCATAAAAGTATGGTTGAATGATGATTTTACGAATATTGATGCTGATGAGTGTGAAAAGATAGTTGAGGAGGGTGTAAAGAATATATAAACAGCTATGAGAACAATATAAGTGACAGGCATTCAGAAGATTGCTGAAGCTGTAAAAGCAGAGATAGATGAATTTAGACCAAAAGTTCCATTGTTATCAGCATTAAGAAAGAAAGGAATGACTGTAAGACATTGGACATAAGTATCTTAATTGAAAGGGTTAGATCATGTGATAAATCCAGATGAATAGGGGTTCTGTTTTTAAGAAGTGTTAAATATGGGATTTATGGATGTAATTGATAAGGTTGTTAATATTGGAGAGACTGCAAGTAAAGAATATTAAATTGAAATGATGCTTGATAATATGCTTAATGCATGGGAGAATATTAAATTTTAATGTGTTCAATATAAGAATACATTTATATTGAAAGGATTTGATGAAATACAAATTGTCTTAGATGAACACATCATAAATACTTCAGCAATGGTATTCTCACCTTTTAAGAAATTCTTTGAAGAAAGAATCAGTGAATGGGATAAGTCATTAAGAAAGATATAAGATATTTTAGAAGAATGGGCTAAATTTTAATAATAGTGGATGTATTTATAACCAATATTTGATTCATAAGATATTGCTAAATAATTACCTGCTGAAACTAAGAAATTTAAAACTGTTGATTAAACTTGGAGAACTACAGTGACTTAGGCAAAAGCAAAAGAGAAAGTATTAGATGTATGTATAGAGGATGGTTTATGGGAGAGATTACATGAAGCAAACAAAACATTGGAAATGGTTTAAAAAGAGTTAAATAATTATTTAGAAAAGAAAAGAGAAAAGTTTGCTAGATTCTACTTTTTATCTAATGATGAATTATTAGAAATATTATCTTAGACCAAAGAGCCAACAGCAGTACAACCTCATCTTAAAAAAGTGTTTGAGAATATAAATTCAATAGAATTTGATAAAGATAAGAAAATTCATGCTATGTTTTCAGCAGAAAAAGAGAAAGTACCTTTTGTAAAGATTGTGGATCCTAATAAAAAGAATGTTGAGGAATGGATGAATGAAGTAGAGAATATGATGAGATTATCAGTTAGATAAGCATTAATGCTTAGTATTGAGAATTACATCTAAATAAAAAGAGAAGAATGGGTATTGAGACATCCTGGTTAATGTGTATTAAATGGATCATAAGTTCATTGGACAAAAGAAGTCGAAAATGCAATTGATACATAGAATCTTAAAGGATATTTTAAAAGATTAGAAGAATAGCTTGGTAATTTAGTTGATTTGGTAAGAACTAAATTGTCAAAGTAAGCAATGGTTACAATAAATGCATTGATCGTTATAGATGTACATGCTAAAGATGTAGTACAGAAAATGGTTGATAGTGAAGTTTATGATAAGTTTGCTTTTGAATGGATATCACAATTAAGATATTATTGGGAGAATTAATAAGTTGATTTTGACTGTTGGGTTAAGTGTGTATAGACTAATTTTCCATATGGTTATGAATATCTAGGAAATACACTTAGATTAGTTATTACACCATTAACAGATAAATGTTATATGACATTGATGGGAGCTTTAAGATTGAATTTAGGAGGAGCTCCAGCAGGTCCAGCAGGTACTGGTAAAACTGAATCAACTAAAGATTTAGCTAAAGCATTGGCTAAATAATGTGTAGTATTCAATTGTTCAGATTCTATGGATTTTATTATGGTTGGTAAATTCTTTAAGGGTTTAGCATCTGCAGGAGCTTGGGCATGTTTTGATGAATTCAATCGTATCAATATTGAAGTGTTATCAGTTATTGCATAATAATTATTAGTATTATTTGGAGAAAAAGCAAAAGGTACTCCATAAGTAGAATTTGAGGGTTCTATGATTAAAATCTTACCTACATTTTCGGTTTTTATTACAATGAATCCTGGTTATGCTGGAAGAACAGAATTACCTGATAATTTGAAGGCTCTCTTTAGACCAGTAGCTATGATGGTTCCAGATTATGCTATGATTGGAGAAATTATGCTTTATTCATTTGGTTTTAAATTAGGTAGAGATTTATCAAAAAAAATGGTTACAACATTTAAATTGAGTTCAGAATAATTATCATCTTAAGATCATTATGATTATGGTATGAGAGCAGTAAGATCAGTTATTAATGCAGCAGGATTATTAAAAGTTCAATTTCCAGATATGAATGAAGAATAATTATTATTGAGAGCATTGAGAGATGTTAATGTTCCTAAATTTTTGAAAGATGATTTACCCTTATTTGAAAATATTATATCAGATTTATTCCCTGGTTTAGAAAGACCATAATATGATTATGGCAAATTGATTCCAGAATTATCATAATAATGTGAGAAATACATTTTTAAAGAATAACCTTATCCTGTCCAACCTGTTTAACCATTTATTGATAAAGTCTTATAACTTTATGATACAATTCAAGTTAGACATGGTTTAATGTTAGTAGGTCCAACTGGTGGTGGAAAAACAACTAATTATTAGATCTTATCTAAATCAATGACAAAATTAGGAGAAGCAAATGGATTTTATAAAGTGCATACTCATGTATTGAATCCTAAATCAATTACTATGGGTTAATTGTATGGATAATTTAATGAATAAACTCATGAATGGACTGATGGAGTCTTAGCATATATGGTTAGAGAAGCTGTTAAAGATACATCTTCAGATAGACATTGGATAATGTTTGATGGTCCTGTTGATGCCTTATGGATTGAATCTATGAATACTGTCTTAGATGATAATAAAAAATTGTGTTTGAATAGTGGTTAGATACTTACCTTAACTTAATATATGACAATGATGTTTGAGGTTGAAGATTTAGCTGTCGCTTCACCAGCCACTGTCTCAAGATGCGGAATGGTGTATATGGAACCAAGAGCTATGGGTATATAACCATTGATTGATTCTTATGTCCAAAGATTTCCTAATAATATTAAAAATAAGAAAAAAGATGTCTTAAATAATTTGAGCAAGTGGTTCTAACTATATGTTGAAGAGGCTCTTGAATTTACATACAAACATTGTAAAGAAGTTATTCCAACAATGAGAAACAATCTTGTTTAATCCCAATAAAGGATTATTGACAGCTTAATATCACCTTATGTAGAAACTGAAATTAAAAAAGTATCAGTTGATGAACTTGATTAATTAAATTAGAATATTGAATACTTCTTCCATTATTCTTTAGTTTGGAGTATTATGGTTACAGGAGATTTCTAAAGTAGATAAAAATGTGATAAGTTTCATAGATAATAAATGTAGAAGTTTAAAGCCAACTTTGAATATCCTAAAGAAGGTTTAATATACGATTATTAATTGAATTTGTAACCATGGAGTGATGCATATTAATCATTTGATATTGATTAAAAATTATAATTTCATGAAATAGTAATTCCAACAACTGATTCAATTCGTAATATGTATTTAATGAAATTACTTTTAACTAATAATTTCCATGTTTGTTGTCCAGGACCAACAGGTACAGGTAAATCATAGAATTCATATTAATTATTAATTATGGGTATGCCTGAAGACTTTTAATATGTTCCGTTAACTTTCAGTGCGTAAACATCAGCAAATTAAACTCAAGATACTATAGATTCTTGGATAGATAAAAGAAGAAAAGGTGTTAGAGGTCCACCTGTTGGAAAGAGATAAGTAATATTTGTAGATGATTTGAATATGCCAAAAAAGGAAGAGTATGGTGCTTAACCACCAATAGAGTTAATTAGATAAATATTAGATCACTAAGGTTGGTATAATAGACAGGATTTACAATTTGTGAAATTAGAAGGATTGCTTATACTATCAGCAATGGGACCTCCTGGTGGTGGTAGAAGTAATATAACAGGTAGAGCAGTTAGACACTTTAATGTGTTAGCATATACAGAATTAGATGAAGATGTTATAAAATCAATATTCTAAAAAATTATTCAATTTTTCTATAAGAAATTCAGTGAGTAAGTTTAAGCATTATAATTGCAATTGGTTAATAGTGTATTAAGTATTTACAATTCAGTAAGAAGAGATTTATTGCCAACTCCATCTAAAAGTCATTACACATTCAATTTAAGAGATATAAACAAAGTGTTTTAAGGAATTTGTAGTATCTTACCTAAAAACTGTTAGGAATCTGCTTAATTAGTTAAACTTTGGTATCATGAAAATATGAGAGTATTTCATGATAGATTGATAAATGAATAAGACCGTAACTATTTCAAATAATTACTAACTCAATACTTCAACGACTTTGGATTGAAGCAAGATGAAGTATTAGACTAGGAAAGAATTATCTTTTGTGATTTTTTAGGTAATAGAGACTTAGATATACGACCTTATGTATAAGTATAAGGTGATCTACAATATTTTGTTGGTTAGATGGAAGAATTATTGGATTAATACAATAAAGATGTAGGAAGTGGGAAGAAATAGATGAAGTTAGTAATGTTTTTGGATGCTTGTGAACATATAACAAGAATTAGTAGAATTCTTAGATAACCAGGAGGAAATGGTCTTTTACTTGGTATTGGTGGTAGTGGTAGATAATCATTAACAAGGATGGGCACATATTTATAGAATTATAAATTACAATAGATTGAGGTTCTTAAGAATTATAATATGAGAGCTTGGAGAGATGATGTAAAGAAGATTATTATGTTGGCTGGTGTAGAGAATAAATGTGTTACTTTTGTATTTGTTGATACTCAGATAATAAATGAGTAGATGTTGGAAGATATTAATGGAATACTGAATTCTGGAGATGTAACAAATCTCTATAATGATAAAGACAATGAAGATATTACTTAAGCATGCAAAGCTGAGTGTATAAAAAAAGGACTTCCTCCAAATAGGATGAATATATTCTCTGTTTATTTGGCAAGAGTCAAAAAAAATATGCATATGGTTATAGCTATGTCTCCCATAGGTGATGCCTTTACTACAAGATTGAGAATGTTTCCATCATTGGTTAATTGTTGTACTATTGATTGGTTTACAGAATGGCCAGAAGAAGCACTTGAAGGTGTAGGAAGAGGATAATTAATTGAAGTAGCTTAACAATTAGATTTAGATATCAAAAATACTAGATTAGTAGATATGTTTAAGTATATGCATAAATTCGTTGAAAAATTGTCATTGTAATATAAGTCTGAACTTAGAAGAATAAATTATGTTACACCAACTTCATACTTAGAATTACTTAGTCTTTACATTAATATTGTACAAGATAAGAGAAATGATTTAAAAGCTTAGATTCTTAGATTGAAGAATGGTTTGGATAAATTATAAGATGCTAATAAAGCTGTAGCAGAGATGAAAATAGTTTTGGAGAAAATGTAACCAGAATTAGAATAAGCATAAATTGAAACAACAAAAATGATGGAACATTTAAAAGTGGAAAAAGAAGATGCTGATTAAACTTAAAGAGTAGTTGCAGTTTAAGAAGCTGAAGCTACTTAATAAGCTAGGGAAGCAAATTAAGTAGCTTAAGAAGCAGCAGAAAGGGTTAGAGTTGCTAATGAAGAATTAGCATAAACATTATTGAAAGTAAAAGAATTATAAAAGGATCACTTGGTTGAATTAAAATCTTTATCATCTCCACCTGAAGCTGTTAAAGTTGTATTAGCAGGTGTTGTGATACTTGCTACAGATTATATTAAGAAATCAGGAGGTGAAATTATCACTTAACCAGTGCCAAATTAAATTGGTAAGAAAGAAGAGAATTATTTTGAGACAGCTAAAAAGTATTTACTTAATGATGTGAATTCATTATTATCAATGTTATTAGAAAAATTTGACAAAGAAAATATTAATCCATCTGCTATAGCTAAAATGGAATAAAAAGTTACTTGTCATCCTAAATTCAATTCAAATGATGCATTCTAAGGATCAAAAGCAACAGGGTATTTATTTGGTTGGTGTAAATGTATGTATGATTTCTATAAGGTTTATACTGAAACTAAACCTTTGAGAGAAAAGCTAGCACTTATGTCTAAAATTGTAGAAGAGAAAAATAGAGAATTATCAATTAAAAAGAAAGAATTGGATGAAATTAATGCAAAAATTAGAGAATTATAAAGAGTATTTGATGATAAGAAGAAGCAATAGGAAGATCTATAGAAGAAGATTAAAGAATGCGAAGTTAAATTGGAAAGAGCTTAAAAGTTGACAGAAGGATTGAGTGATGAAAAGGAAAGATGGGCTAAAGATATTGAAAATCTAACTAATAGTGGTGGTCTAATCCCAGGTAATTCAATTATTGCATCAGGAATGGTAGCTTACTCTGGACCTTTTGTTTCATAATATCGTATTAAAATGGAATAAGATTGGAGAGCTAAATTAAAGGAATATAATATTCCATTCTCTGATTTAATTACAATGAGAAAATTCTTAGGAGATGAAGTAAAGATATAATCATGGAATATTTGTGGATTACCAAAAGATGACACATCTATTGAAAATGGTATTATAATTGACAAAAGTAGAAGATGGACTTTGATGATTGATCCATAATCTTAAGCTAATAAATATATAAAAACAATGGGTAAGGATTTACCAGAAGGCTTAGATGTGTTGAAATAATCAGATTAAAATTTAATGAGAACTTTGGAATTAGCTATTCAATTTGGTAAATGGGTTTTAGTAGAGAATGTTGGATTATCTTTAGATCCTTCTTTGGAACCAATACTTTTATAATAAATAAGTAAGACTGGTACATCTGCAACTATATAGATTGGAGATAAGAATCTATAATATAATTTTAGTTTTAGATTCTTTATGACTACAACACTTCCAAATCCTCATTATTCTCCCGAGACTTCAGTAAAAGTAACAATAATTAATTTTGCAATTACTCCTTTAGGATTGGAAGAATAAATGTTAGCATAGATAGTGGCATTGGAGAATCCGAATTTAGAAAATAAAAAGACTGAAATAGTAAGAAAGAATGCTTAAGATAAAAAAGAATTAGTTAATATTGAAGATAGTATTTTAAGAAGTTTATCTGAAACCAAAGGTGACATTTCTGAAATATTGATGGATGAAACTTTAATAAATAAATTATAAAATTCAAAGAAATTTGCAGCTGAAATCAATTAAAGAGTGAAAGATTCAAAAATAACTGAAGCTTAGATTGATGAAGCAAGAGAATCATATAGATCAGTTGCATTTAGAGCATCTTTACTTTTCTTTTGTATAATTGATTTATCTACAATTGATCCAATGTATTAATACTCTTTGTAATGGTTTATTAATCTATTTACTTTGGGTGTATAGAATGCTCCAGCTTCATAAGTATTAGAGGAGAGATTAAATCATCTTAATGATTTCTTCACATATATGTTGTATGAAAATGTTTGTAGATCATTATTTGAGAAACACAAATTATTATTTTCATTTATGTTGACTTATAAGATATTGAGTGCTGCTCATAAAATGAATGAAGGAGAATGGAGATATTTATTATAGGGTGCTACAGGTGATGTATAATTAGCTCCAAATCCAACTGAATGGATAAGTGAAAATACATGGCCAGAAACATATAGAAATATTAATGGTATGTCAGAATTAACTAATTTTGATGGTATATTATCTGATTTCATGAGTAATTCTGATAAATTTAAAACTATCTTTGATGCACCTAATCCTTAAGATATAGAATTCCCAGAACCTTGGAATGTTTAATTGGATTCCTTCTCAAGAATATTATTATTAAAAGCAATTAGAAGTGATAAAGTTATTCCAGCTATTTAAAAATGGATTATAGAGAAAATGGATGAGAAATTTATTATTCCACCTACTTTTGATTTAAGTAAATGTTATAAGGATTCTACTCCTAATACTCCACTTATTTTTGTTTTATCTCCTGGTTCAGATCCAATTGCAGATTTAATGAAATTTGCTGAAGAAATGAATATGACTAAAAGAATAGATTCAATTTCTTTGGGTTAAGGATAAGGTCCAAAAGCTGAAAAATTAGTTAAAGATGCTTTAGGTAGAGGAGGATGGGCATTATTAATGAATTGTCATTTAGCAACTTCATGGATGAATGATCTTGAAAAATTAAATGAGGAAATGTAAGATTAAGGAACAAAAGATTTTAGATTATGGTTAACATCAATGCCATCTAAATCATTTCCAACTATTGTTTTGTAAAATGGTGTAAAAATGACCCTTGAACCTCCTAAAGGTCTTAGAAATAATATGCTTAGAACTTACACTCAATTAGATGATAAAACATTGAATGATTGTAAAAAACCAGAAGATTTTAAAAAATTACTATTTGGATTCTCATTATTCCATGCAATCATTTAAGAAAGAAGGAAGTTTGGAGCCATAGGATGGAATATTCCTTATGAATTTACAAATGAAGACCTTACAGTTTGTAGAAGATAACTTAAAAGTTTACTTGACGATTATGTTCTTATACCATTCAAAGTTATTAATTATTTAGGAGCAGAAATTAATTATGGTGGCAGAGTTACTGATGATAAAGATGTTAGATTAATTAAAACCATTCTCAAATTGTATATAGCTTAAGAAGCATTAAAAGAAGGATATCAATTCTTAGTACCAACTTATTATTAACCTAATGTTGGTGAAAGATAAAATTATATTGAGTATATTGAAAAATTACCATTAAATCCAGAACCTGAAGCATTTGGTTTACATAGTAATGCTGAAATCACTAATGCCTAAAATGAAACTAGAATTCTCTTAGAAACTCTATAATCTATACAACCAAGAACATAATAAGGAGCAGGTAAATGTAGAGAAGATGTTATTGAAGAATTAGCTAATTTTGTTGAATCAAAAACTCCTGATTTATTTGATATAGATGATATTTCAATTAAATATCCAACAGATTATCAAGAATCTATGAATACTGTTTTAGTCTAAGAACTTATACGTTATAATAGATTACTTGCTATAATGAAAACTACACTTTCTAATGTTAAAAAAGCTCTCAAAGGATTAATCGTAATGTCAGAAGAAATGGAAAAATTATCTAACAGTCTATATGATAATCAAGTACCTCAATTATGGGCTGAAAAAGGATTTCTTAGTTTAAAACCATTAGCTTCATGGACTCAAGATTTACTTGATAGAATTTCCTTCCTTAAAAATTGGGTTGATAAAGGAACACCTAAAGTTTTCTGGATTTCTGGTTTCTTCTTTCCTTAAGCCTTCATAACTGGTATGGTACAAAACTATGCCAGAAAACATGTAATTGCTATTGATAAATTGTAATATGAATATATTGTATTGGACACATTAACTTACACTGCCGTTACTGATAAACCAGAAGATGGAGTTTATATTTATGGTATCTTTTTAGAAGGAACTAAGTATATTTAATTTATTATATATTTAGATGGGATTACAAGAGACATTTAATATCATAACCAAAAATTAAGGAATTATATTCAGATTTACCATTAATGCATTTATTGCCCTATGACCCATCATAAGTTGAAGTATAACCAAAAGATCCAAAAGAAAGGAAAATTTATAAATACTAATGTCCTTTATACAAAGTTGTTTCTAGAGTATATATTTTTGTAATAACTTTAGGCTGGAACACTTTCAACCACAGGGCATTCTACAAATTTTGTTATGCCTCTTGAATTACCATCAAGAGATGATGAAGATGTTTGGATTAGAGCTGGTGCAGCTGCTTTCTTATCATTAAGATATTGAAAATTATATATATTTTATTTTAATGCAAATTGGAAAAAAATTTATGCTAATGTCTAATTTTTTGTTATATCTAAACCAAATATAATAAAAAGTTGAATTCAATAAATATTATCACCTAGTAATAGGTTCAAGAACTTTGTAAGTATTTATAAGAATTTAAGATTTGTTCTCTTCTAAATTTGAAATCAAACAAGTAAACTAAATTTATTAATAATATAATGATATCAAAAGAATAGAAGGATTGCTTTTTTCGATTAGAGTACTAAATTTTTAATTATTATAATAAAAATTTTTAAGTTATCAATTTAATTAAAAAAAGAAAGTTAAGAAAATCATTAATATAATTAATTATTATTATTAATATTAATTAGTGTAAATTAATTGATTTACTCGAATAACTTTCCGACTGGATAGAGTTTCTGTGAAAGACTTTTACATAAATTTGAATTGAAAATTGAATGGTGATAAAAGTAAGATTATAATACATACACATAATCATACTACTCCATTCAACTTTTTCTTTTTATAACCACACCTAGAAAAATGATGATCTGTGAGTTCGTAATAATGTGAAATGCAATTTTGAGATTTTAATTTCTTATTAAGCACAAGAGCTTAATTATTACGTAATGAAGGCTAATAATTTAAATAAAAATTTAAGTTAATGAGTGTGTCATCCTCTGCTTCAAAATGATCTTTGGTAACAGAAAAAGATACATCGCATTTTAGGCCCTAACGAAATGAGTAAGAATTCTTACTTATGAATAAAGAGGAGAATATATATAGAAATCTTACTCCTCTTTTGGTTTCATCAAAGGTTTGGCAAACTCCATAACATTTTTGTAGTAATTCGTATTTGTACATCCAGGTTATAAAGATAATCTAGATATAATTTATAAATTTTTTATACTCCGGAATTCCAATCTTTATGCACGATTCTATAAAATGTTGTACTGAATAACCCAAGTCTTCAATTAATTTGATGTCATAGGTCAATGCTGATATGAAGAATTGATTTAAGCTTTTTAAGTACTTATATTGATATATTCCAAATGATCTATAGTTGTCTTTGGGAATCTAAAATATTTTTGATAGTTTATTTTCAAATACAATGTCATTTTTTTCCAATTTCAAACCAGAGTTTAATTATTCATAATACTTCCTGATATATTCACTTAATTCCATCATTTAAACATCACCGAAACTTTATAATCTTTTTGCTACATATTCCCAAGGAGTTTCAGAAAAATCAAGTTATGTGTAGCACAATTTGATTGTCCCAGCATTTTAATCCACCATTATTTTGGAAATTTTTTTATAAGGATTTTGACAACTAAGACCAATTTTCAGCATTTCATGTTATCTTATGTAGCGAGCGTCTGCAAATAGATGGAAATCCTTTAATATCATTAAATGATTAAAGATACTCCTTTCATTCGAAAAGTACTATGGGGATTTAGAAACTTTTTGGGGAAAACTATTAAAGATACCTCCTTTCCTTTCTAGATATCTGTCTCCTCCCCATGTATAGGAGTGGAATGCTGTAATTGATCGATTTACATTTTTAATTTATTTATTTTTAAATTATTGGATCTCTAAATATTATAAATAGAGTTTCTTATATAAATCATTCGATTTTAATGAAGTATAATTTTAATTGTATTAATTCACAATGAATAATATTTTAAATTAATTAAATTAGAATAAAAATAATTAATTATAAATCTTAAATAATTCTTCATATTTATAAGATTTTAATCAATAAATCCCTCTATTTCTTCTTATGTAACTTAGTAACTTAATTTATATGTACTCTATATATTTTTACTATTTTATTAAGAAAGAAATTTTCTTTATAAAATTTTTTCCTTTAATTTTATTTCTACATTTTTGGCTATTCTTGCTGTTTAAATTATTCTTGGNTTGGTTTCATCAAAGGTTTGGCAAACTCCATAACATTTTTGTAGTAATTCGTATTTGTACATCCAGGTTATAAAGATAATCTAGATATAATTTATAAATTTTTTATACTCCGGAATTCCAATCTTTATGCACGATTCTATAAAATGTTGTACTGAATAACCCAAGTCTTCAATTAATTTGATGTCATAGGTCAATGCTGATATGAAGAATTGATTTAAGCTTTTTAAGTACTTATATTGATATATTCCAAATGATCTATAGTTGTCTTTGGGAATCTAAAATATTTTTGATAGTTTATTTTCAAATACAATGTCATTTTTTTCCAATTTCAAACCAGAGTTTAATTATTCATAATACTTCCTGATATATTCACTTAATTCCATCATTTAAACATCACCGAAACTTTATAATCTTTTTGCTACATATTCCCAAGGAGTTTCAGAAAAATCAAGTTATGTGTAGCACAATTTGATTGTCCCAGCATTTTAATCCACCATTATTTTGGAAATTTTTTTATAAGGATTTTGACAACTAAGACCAATTTTCAGCATTTCATGTTATCTTATGTAGCGAGCGTCTGCAAATAGATGGAAATCCTTTAATATCATTAAATGATTAAAGATACTCCTTTCATTCGAAAAGTACTATGGGGATTTAGAAACTTTTTGGGGAAAACTATTAAAGATACCTCCTTTCCTTTCTAGATATCTGTCTCCTCCCCATGTATAGGAGTGGAATGCTGTAATTGATCGATTTACATTTTTAATTTATTTATTTTTAAATTATTGGATCTCTAAATATTATAAATAGAGTTTCTTATATAAATCATTCGATTTTAATGAAGTATAATTTTAATTGTATTAATTCACAATGAATAATATTTTAAATTAATTAAATTAGAATAAAAATAATTAATTATAAATCTTAAATAATTCTTCATATTTATAAGATTTTAATCAATAAATCCCTCTATTTCTTCTTATGTAACTTAGTAACTTAATTTATATGTACTCTATATATTTTTACTATTTTATTAAGAAAGAAATTTTCTTTATAAAATTTTTTCCTTTAATTTTATTTCTACATTTTTGGCTATTCTTGCTGTTTAAATTATTCTTGGATATTCCTGAAGAGAATATACAATTTGTATAGTAACTTGTTAATTGAAACAGATTATGTATTCAAAGAAGAGAAAATTTTTAAGATTTAATTTTCTAATAATCGTCATCTATTTTTAACGCTAAAAGAAAAAACTCTTAAAAGTTAATTATTCAGAAAAGAAATAAAATTTTCTAAAAAATCTTAATTGAGGATATTCTTAAGTTTAAAAAAATTTTCTATCTAATCAGATTTGCCATTTAAATTTGTATTGAAATATGTAATTAACTTGAAAAAATAAATAATACAATTAAAATTTATTATGGGGATACATATTGTAAATTTATTATTTTTAAACGGAACTAAATATAGAACAATAACTTCAAACAAATATTATGTAGAAATTGTAATAATAATATAGAATTTTTTAGTTATTCCAAAAATCTTAAATTAGATTTCTTATTTAATTAATTTATGTATAATAATTCAAATTGTGTTTTATAATCGAACCTAATAAATAAAAATAAAATTCAAATAATTTTTTGAAACTTAAACTTACTTAATTATGGATAAATTATAATATAGTAACATTTTAAGTAATTCAATCTAATGTAAACTAAAAATTAAATCTAGATAATATTTCTTACTTAAAAAGAAAAATTTTGATTTTTAAATATTTCTCATAAAATTCTACGAATAAAAAAGTAAGTTAGTTTTCTAGGAATTTAGACTCTTGGTTTGATAAATAAATCAAATAAATAAACACAATCATCAAAGTAAATTTTTGTTTTTATCACATCTTCTATTTAGGAATAAAATATTTAATATAAACTTATATCTAAATTAATGTATGTAATTAATTAATAAAAATAATTTTCCTTTGTCCTAAATACAGTTTATCAAAAACTATTTAAAATAACTAGTATTTTACATGATTGTTTTAATATTGAGCTAGTTGAAATATTAATAATAAATATTTAATATATTGAAAAAAGGAGAGAAGATGGATCTTTTATTTAGATAGTAATGATTAATAATATTGATATATAATATTAAAAATGACGTAATAATATCTAAATATAAATGGGTGAGAATCTTGAATAGTATAATTTATTTATGAAAATAGGAGAATCAAATGAGAACTCAGAAAAATTGCTATCTAAATTTTAATATAATCAGGTTGCCTTTTAATTACCAAAGGATGTACAAGAAGAAGCCACGATTAAGTAGATACTATCCTTTAGCAGTCCAATCCATAAAAAATTGCTTTACTATTCATTTTGCATTTTGACTTGTATTATAATTAATTAAAAAGCTTAGGTGGAATTGGATATTTATTTGCTAGATGGAACTTATCATTAAAACTATTTTTGTTATATAGTTAATGTTTAGACATTACATAAGCAACTCATGTAGTTATTACATCTTTGGATAATGAAAAGGAACTTCTAAAAGTAGGGTTAAAGAAAATATGGATAAATAAGAGTGAAAAGTAACGTAAAGTAATTTTATAAAACATGTTCATTTAGTATTTTTAATATCGATTGTATACATATTTCTATGAGGATGACTGTTTTAAAGCAATAGAAACGCCATTTCAGTCACTAACTCATGAAGAAATTATATAAAATTATTGTCAAGGAGTAGAATAACCTGATGAAATTGCTTCGTTATTCGGATATAATAATACAACAATCCCTGATAAAGGTACAGGAAAAATCTTGATAGATGAAATTTTAACGCCATTTTATTTGTTTTAAATTTTTAGTGTGTGTTTATGGACAATTGAGAAATATTATTAATATGCAATAGTTATATTTTTGACTTCAGTTATCTCAATATTAGTGTAATTTAGAGAAACAAGATAGAATTTTTAGAAGCTTAGAAAGATGACTTCATAAGATTAGATAGATTATATATTTAGAGGAAAAAATGATATAAAAATATAGAATAAATTTATTATAGTGGATAAATCAATAGTGAACAACAAATAAAAATTGAGTTCGAAAGAAATAGTGCCAGGAGATTTGATAGAAGTAAGAGATGATTGGATAGTACCTTGTGATTGCATTTTATTAAATGGTTCTTGTATAATAAATGAATCAATGTTGACTGGAGAATCAATACCAATAATAAAAAATCCTATTTAATTGAATAAGCTTATATATTCTCCAAATAATGATTGTAAGTCTATAACATTATTTGCTGGAACAAAATGTTTGGAATCACGACATCCAGAGAAAGGATAAGTACCTGTATTAGCAATAGCAGTATAGACAGGATTTTAAACAATGAAAGGATAATTAGTGAGATCAATTTTATATCCAAAACCAACTACATTTTCATTTTATAGAGATTCATTATCATTTATATCAGTAATGGCAATGTTGTCTTTAGTAGGTTTTTCTTTGACAATAAAAAGTTAAGTGGATGAATTAAAGGAAAATAATACAACAATATTTTAGATGGTAATAAATTCTTTGGATTTAATCACAATAACAGTACCTCCAGCATTACCAACTTGTTTATCAATAGGAGTATCATTTGCATTAGCAAGATTAGGTAAGAAATAGATTTATTGTATATCTCCTAATAAAGTAAATGTAGCAGGGAAAATAACAATTATGTGTTTTGATAAAACAGGAACTTTAACAGAAGATGGTCTTGATCTTTATGGTGTGAGAACAATTGGATATAATCATAGTAAATATCATATATATCTGATTTAGAGAAATCAAAGATATGTTTTTAAGATTTAATAATTGATGTTAAAGAAGAATTATAAATTCCAAATGTTATTTATTCAATGAATCTAGGATAAAATTTATATGGATAAACAAAATTATAACCATCTTAATTAGTTTTAGAAATTATGGCTTCATGTCATGGATTAGCTAAAGTAAATGGTAATTTAATAGGAGATCCTTTAGAAGTGAAAATGTTTGAAGCTACAAATTTTGAATTAGATGATTTAAATAATGAAGTATTTAAAGAAAATGATAGAATTTAAATATTAAAAAGATTTGATTTTTCATCAACTCTTTAAAGAATGAGTGTAATAGTATCAAGAAATGATAAATTGAGAGTTCATGTAAAAGGATCTCCTGAAAAATTAAGAGAATTATGTAATCCAGGATCTGTACCAAGAAGTTTTCATAAGATACTTGAGCATTATTCAAAAATGGGATTTAGAGTATTGGCATGTGGATCAAAAATCATTGATAATGATAATGAATATAATAGAGATTAAGCAGAATGCAATTTAACTTTTTTAGGTTTCTTAATTATGTAGAATAAATTAAAACCTATAACTCGAAATGTAATTGAAACATTATAAGATGCAATGATCAGAACAATTATGGTTACAGGTGATAATGTACTTACAGCAATATCTGTTGCTAGATAATGCAATATTGTATAACCAAATTAACGTATATTTTTAGGAGATATTGCAGAATAAAAATTAGATGGTAAAAATCATATCATTTGGAAAGATTTTGATATGAGTGATAAAGTATTAAATTAAGATAATTTATCTCCAGAATTAGAATTTAATGATGATTCTGATGATGAATTTGAAACACCTGAATTATTTGGTTAATAGGAACAATAATATGAATAATAGATGGAAATTATTATTGAAGATAACGATAAAATAGTTAGTATTTAAAATAATGAGAATAAAAAAATATTGAATTTGAAAAAAAGCAAATATGAAAATTATAAATAAGAAGAAGAATAATTAATAGCTGAAAACCTTGATCATTTAATAGATGATTAAGATCCATGGAAAACAGATTAACCTTTTGTTGTTGCTATATCTGGTAAGGCATTTTAATTACTCTTAAAATAAATTGACATAAATCCAAAAGCAAGAAGATTATTTGGTTTGATGCTTGAAAAAACTTAAATTTTTGCTAGAATGAAACCTGAATAAAAAGCTTAGCTCATAAGTCATTTATAGATAATAAATAAAAAATCTTTATGTGGTATGTGTGGTGACGGAGCAAATGATTGTGGAGCATTAAAAACAGCTGATATTGGAATATCATTATCTGATGCAGAAGCATCAATAGCTGCTCCATTTACATCAAAAATTTAAAATATTTCTTGCGTTATAAAATTGTTAAGAGAAGGAAGAGCATCGTTAGTAACTAGTTTCTAATGTTTTAAGTATATGGCTTTGTATAGTATGATATAATTTTGTACTGTGACTTTGCTTTATTTCACTCTTTCAAATATGTCATCAAGGTAGTATTTTTACATTGATTTATTTATCATTATACCTTTAGCAGGAACTATGGGATAAACTAAAGCATATAAAAAACTTACTCAATTTCAACCAGGATCAAATTTAATTTCCTTCCCAGTTTTATTATCAGTAATTGGATCAACTCTAATATAAATCGGATTTTAAACTTTTGTTTACTTTTTTATGAAAAATTAATCTTGGTATAGATCTGGAGTTGATATTCATAAAGATATTGGAGATATTGACGATCATCGTGCAATGTAAACATCATATGAAAATACAATTTTCTTCTTGTTTGCTAATTTTTAGTATGTATTTTAATGTGTTGCTTTTTCAATTGGAAAACCATTTAGAAGAGAATTTTATACTAATTTTTATTTCACATTTTGGATTATTCTAGGAATGATCTTTAATTCATATATTTTGTTATTCTAGAAAAGTGGATTTTAAAATTTATTTGAAGTATATGAATGATATTTAGTTTTAGTTTATGTTTGAGTATAAATCTAAGAATAATAAAGATTTAGATTCTGCAATAAAATAAGAATGGATGTATTAACTTTATGGAATAATGATTTTAAATATGATAATAACAATATTATTTGAGAAATACATAGTACCATTTACAACTAGATTTTATAGAAATAAGAAGAGAAAGATATTGAAGAGATATAAATATTCTGAAAATCCTTATTTAAATGATGAATTAAATTAGAAATGATTAATAATTATAATTATAATAAAATATGAATATTGATGAATAGAAATGTATTCTAAGAATTTAACTTATTGCAGGACATTAAATGTTATTAGATAAGGATTAATAGAGATGTTTTATAGAATTTAAATTGGATGGTGAATCAAAATAAAGTTATGAAAAAATGAAATCAGATGATTTTTTTGATTAAGTGTTTCATTTTCATATAAATCAAAATAAGAATGCAAATAGAGAATTATAGGTTTTATTATGCAATATCAACAGAGGTGGATATATGTCAAAGTAAACTTTAGGCAAAATTAATCTAAGACAATTTCCATTTTAACTAAATCATTCTTTTGATAGGGATATTTCTAATACAAGTAAATAATTAATTAAACTAATTTAGTTAAGGATAAATTAGTCACCATTTAAGTAGCTTTGTCTTTTATTAATAATCTCTTTGTAGATAATGTAACTGGAGAAGTAATTGTAAATTTATTATCAATAATTCCATAAAATAAAGGTATTTTAGCAATGTCTTTGGGTGGAAGTTAAACAACTTATACATTCTAAGCAGGAACAGAATTAAAAATTATAAATGATTCACCATATTGTAAATTAACATTGATTTATTATTATGATGTTACTCCTAAAGAATATTTTGGTATCAATCAAATTAAGTTGCTTAAATAATAATCTCTAAAAAAAGATATATTTTTATGTGATTTAAATTGGAAATAAAAAAACAATGAATTAGAGGCTTTTTTGGAAAAGATATAAATTAATGCAGGAATGTTTAGAATCAAAGTAACTTTGTCAAGGAAATAAGAAATACCTAAAATTGTAGAAGAGAAATAAATAGTTCCTCAAAAAAAAGTTATGGCTTTTAAATCTATTAAAATAGAAGGATTTCCAACTAAAGAATTAGGTAATGCTAAATATTATTTACAAATACGTACTCCAAATTATTTCTATTTCACTCATCTTAGTGTAATACCTTAATGGGATTGTGATTTTGCCTTGTACGAATAAAATTATACTATTATACTTTATAATTATTTGGGAGATAAGAAGACTTCTTATTTAGCGAAATTTGAAAATAGTAATGAAGGAGAATTAAGTTTACCATTTTAATAATTCTTAAAAACTTTTTATGGTTCAAATCCAAATCAATTTTAAAAAGTTACTTAATATCTAAATCTGTAAATCCGTTGCGATATTACTGATTATACTTCACCTATTGTTGATAATCCAAGAGGTATTATCAACCTACCAATTACTGAATTTAGTATAAATGAATATCAAGGAAATTTTATGATGTTTTAAACTTAATCAATTTATGATTATGTTCAAGTACGAAAATATAAGGCTAATAGAGCAGAAATTGCATTTGATATACCATTATATGAAATTAAAAATTCAATATGTTTTGGTGGACAATAAATACCAATTAAATATGATAGTGATGATTAAAATAAAGAATAAGTATTAGAGGAGAAATTAGAAAAAAGTAATTTTGTTAAAATTACAGTTCATTCTGTTAAAATTACAAAGAATGAAAATCTATAAGTAACAATAAATGCTGAAGATTTGAGTTTTCAAACATCAAAAATCTGTGGAATATATTTTGGATAATCATTCATTTGTAAATTTCCAAATAAATTATCAATATAATTGATAAATCGAACTGAAAATGATATTATATAAGATACATTTACTTCATTTATTGATTTGCAATAACTTGATTTTTTGGGAACAGAATCATTTGTTAATATATAAATGAATTCAGTAAACAAATAATGTTTACTTACTATAAGATTGGAAATGAGTGGACACATAGCATAAGTAAATAGATTATCCATTATTCCATAAGCACTTTATCCAATTAGTACTGAAGGTACTTATTATATGAGAGTATTATTTTCCTACAGATTCTATTATGATTATTAATAAGTTAAAAGTGAGAAAGATTATTTAATATTTGATAAATTTGAATGGACAGCAGAGGATCTTTGGAAACCAATAAGATTCTAATTGTTTTATTAGAGTGGAAATAAGAAGGAGAATCATACTCTATTAGCAGATCATCAATTATAAGCTATTGATTTATTATGGAAAAATAAAAAATATGTGATTAGAGATAAATGTAGATTTGAAATTAAGAAAGAATAAAAACATGGATTAGATGTTCCTTAAAAAATAATAAAGGGATTAGACCAGCCAAAGATTTTTGTTAAATTTACTCCTTTAAGTGTTTAATTTTAATAAAACTCTTAAGATTTAGAATAAGTAGAAGGGTTTGCAATGCAATTACATCACATAACTAAAGATACAATAGCACGTTTAAAAGATAATTTAGATTTTGAGTATAATGAAGGTTTGATGGAATAAGATAGAACAGAAAATTGTGTATTAAAATATCCTGTGTCTACTTAATTGTCTAAATTATAAATAGATATTAGCATGATTAAATTAATTAATTAAGAATTGAGAATAAATTAGTTTGTAGTTCCAATTGATGTTAAATAATTAGATTCAATACAATATGTAGAAACAAGAAGTGATATACCAATGATATTGAAATTTCGAAGATAAATTATATAACATATGAAATTATCTCATAAATCACTTTATGATGTTTCAATAACTAATATTGGAATCATAAATTAAGGCTTGACCAATTTTAAATTTTATGTTGGAAAAACAAACTTAATTAAGTATCCTTGGATAAAAGATGGAGTACTTCAATAAACTTTTAAAGAGAGTGTTTAACCAATCTTATTTTAATTAGATGAGATTGATACAAATTTAGAATTTGTTTTATTTACAGATGTAATGATATATAGAAGACATGTAATAAATATTAGTACAATATAATTTATTTATAATGATGAATAGTAAGTTGGAACTTATGATTTGATTTAAGAAGAATTTAAATGTTAAATCATTATAAAGGAATCTTCAGAAGAATTTAAAGCTGGTTATCCGATAAATATTTCTTTTAATACAATGACAAAATTAAAAAATATGGCAGGTAGATTTTTTAAGTATAGATTTAGTTATAATTTTGAGAGTAAATTATTCTCAAATTAATTAAAATACACATTCTATACATCTATTAATTCTTATGTATCATTTATTTTATAAAGAAGTGAAGGATAACTTGAAGGTGAATATGAATATACAATAATCATTCCAGAAAGAAAGAAATTTCCTAGGAATCATTCAGTTGCTAAAATATTTTTAGGATCTAAAGAGCTTTATCTTGTTAGACATTAAGAAACTAGAGGTGAAGATATGGAAACTATTTTAGAAACTAAAATAAAAATTAGAAATATTTATGTTCTTAGTATAGAACCAACTTAAAGTTTTACATGTGTTACAAAAGAAGGTAAAATTATTGAATTAGATGAATAATATTTAGTTTATAAATAAATCAAAACTCAATTTACTATTGGTAAATTTGAAATAATGATTTATAGATTATTAAAAGATATTGAAAAAAATTATTCTAATAAATATATTGGACCAGATTTAAGACTATGTTTAAAATATAATAAATAAAAATATTGGATAACAGGTATTAATGATTAGGGTTTAATGATGGATGGAGAATTTTAGAAATGTGAATTTTATGTTTCTAATGTTACAGATCTATTAAAAATTTAATTATTTATTCATGATTATTTAGTAGCTGAAAATGAATATTGTGTACCTTTATTAAAAGAATAATTCATTTAAGAATTATAAAGAGTTATGTATAGATCTAATGATTTAATTTATCATTTTCATTAAAAATTAAAACTTAAAAACATTTGGGTTATGGGTAGATGTAAATTTTAAAAGTAAAATTGGGTTAAAATATTTTTTAAATTTCTTAAATTAAAGATAAATCAGGATCAAGATGAAGAAAAATAATTGAGAAGTTATTCATTAAAAGTATCTAATAACTAATTAGATTGGATTTCTAAAGTTTATTCAACATCTAGAAATAGTACAGAAATTGATTTTCAAGATGAAGAAATAGTTGATTAAATTATATCACCAGGAGAAGAAGATTAAGCTTTTTTCAAATTGGATATAAGAATGAATGGTGATATTATTGCTGAAAAATTATTAGTCTTAAAACCTTTTATTGCTAGAAATGTCAATAATTTTCCATTTGAATTTAAAATTAATGATAAAATTTCTCTAACTTCTGCTATTGAAGTATCATAAAAATTTAAAAGTGAAAATTTTAAGAAATAAATTGTTTAGGAATAAAAATTTGATTTCAGAAAAACTAGTTATGAAGATTTGATTATTAGTATGTTAAACTTTTAAGGAAGATTTGATAAAATATTTCAAGAAATATTTGAATTTCTAACATACAATTTACCTAACAAATATGAACCTGATAAATTATTTAAAGTTTGTAAAGCAATATTTTGTATTCATAACACTAATTTAACATTGGTTTGTATTTCAACATAATGTATGTCTACAATATTTTTATCTCATTCTAAACAACTTATGGGTTAAATTAGTCATCTTTTATTATTGTAATAAATACAAGATCTTGTTACAGCTAAAAATAAAGCATTTAAACCTCTAATAAATATTCCATATTATGATGAATATCTACCAACATCAATTAACACTATTAAAAATTTATAAATGAATGAAGGTGAATTACTTGCTTATCTTAAAGCCAATTTTCATAAAGTCAAAGAAGATTTATTCCAAGAATCAAGAGATAAGCATTCTGCTAAAATTACTTATAGTTGTATAAAAATCTTAGATACCTTGCTTTAAAATAATTCATCATCTGGATTAGAAGTATTAAAATATTTACCAATTTTAATTGAGGCTTATTAATAATTTGACGATTATGAAAATAAAATTGGAAATATCTTTACTATCTTAACTAATACATTAATCTAAATCTACTTAAGTCAAGAACATGTTTAAGAAATCATTAATATTGTCAATTCAAACTTTGTACTTCTCCTTTAAGTATTTTTTGAAACTATTGAAAAAGCTAGTTAATAATAATTTATAGCAATATTATTAACTATGCATCATATTATAAAAATTGTTAATTAAGACTAACTACAATTTTTAAAATTAGTTTTAAAGTATCTAATTAGAAGTCTTATTGTTTAAAAAGATCTTGAGTTACATATAGGTGTAGCAATTGAATATTTTTAACCAAATTATTAGTAAATATTGAAGTAGGTACTTTCAGAAGTTTCCTTAGAAAAGATTGCATTAGAGATAATTCAATAGGAATTTTAAAATATAAAATAGAGTAATGTTTTATCTAATTTATTTGATATGATAATCTAATCAATAGAACTTGGAATTGAACATGTAATTATTATTATAATATAATATAGCCTTATTTAAAATTGTAAGAATATATAAAGTAGGCTCAGCCAAAACATGAATCAAATAAAATAAAAGTTGAAAAGTTTATGACATTTATGAGCAAAAGAGCAGAAAGAGAAGAAAAATTAAAATTACTAAAAGAGAAGAAGACTTAAACATAAACAATTGATGAATAAAAGAAGAGATTAATGGATAGATTCATGATTTCTAAACTTCCTTGGTGAAAATTATTTATAATATTAAATTTATTTATTTGTAATTTAATTAATAAAGAAACAAAATAAATAACAGTGGGATTCCAGATTCTATAAAAATGTGATAATTATGTGATAAATAATTTAATTCAAATATAATCCAAATGGATGGTTATGATATTTATTAAAAAGATTGAAATGAAGAAGGATTAATAAAAAAGAAATGGTATACATTATGATAATTAACAAATAATAATAACCAGAATTTATTTAAGTGATTTTTCTGATATTATATTTATAAAATGATCAAAGAAAATCAGGTGCAATTGAACCATTTTTGACTTTTAAATGAACAAATGCTCCATTTTTAGGTCTATTTAAACCTTCAGCCCATGATCTTACTAATCCAGCAATTTAATCAGGATTAGCCCATTTAGTAAAATCTTCTTTTGGCATAGCTTATCGATTAGCAGGAGTATCAATAGTTTCCCTAAAATAGTTATTTAATAAAATACGGTAATATAGTTATTACAGCAGAATCTTCAGGTAAATGAGTACTTACAGCTGTTTAAATTGCAAGAGTATGAACAGCAGTCTTAGCCAAAGCATATCCAATCATACTTGGAGTTGGAGCATTAAATACTGAATAAGCACCTGTATATATTAACAATCCTTATCTAGATAATTATGTTGTAGCTAAATGACTACATACTAAAGCTGGTACTACGCTTTTTTGATTCATTTCTTCATATACTTAAAGAATATTTTCATCTTTTATTGAACCTCCTGTCCATCCACCAGCAACACATACTATGCAATTAAATTTCTCTATAACTTTAATTAAACAACTATACCCAATGTATTTAATTCAGATTTCAAAAAATTCATATCACTTGAATTCTTTATAATAATATTCTCACAATCTTCATTTTTGTTGAAATCAACACTTGTCACTTTCCATCCTTTAAATACTTTAACCATTGATCGGCCTAAGGCACCAGAACCACCAAATATTAAAGCTTTCATTAAATTAATCAAATAAAAAATAATAATGGTTAAAATCAATATTAATTATATATTGTATTTTTTTATTTTGCTATATTATAGAATTTATTATGTAATTTAAATTTATTTAATATTAACTTACATGTATCTATAAATTTATTAATATAGTTTTGTATAATTTTTATGTTATATTCTAAAAATTAATTTACATTTTATTTATATAATGCATTTTTATCATGCTGTTTTTTTTGTTCTGTAATAATCCATCAAACATTAAACATCAATATTTTTATTAGATTATTACTAAATAAATATTTAGCTGGAATTGGATTATTCAGTTTTTAAATCTTCATGATAATGACTTGATTAATCTCCAAGGTTGTATCTACTAGTTCTTGCACTAGATTAAATTTCCTGATTAAATTAAGATGAACTTTTCTTGGATGAACTTCTATATCTTGAAATCTCAAGTGAAAGCAATGCTATTTTGTTTTCATATTCTTCTAATTTCCTTTATAATTATTAATAATCTCTTTATAATTAATTATATGTCTATAAAAGTTACTAGTACTTTTACTCATTCTTATTTACTTCTGATAAATAATTTGTATTAATTGATGATATCTAATACATCGTTTAACATGATATCTATTATTCATATTTTAATCTCAATTCATTCAACTATAATTCCATACTTCTTACATAAATCTCTTATTCTTATAATTTTCCAATAAGTATAATAATTTCATTTTTTTGTTGTTCCAACTTTTATGCTTTTTCGTCAATAACTTTACTCAAATTATTATTTAATTATTGTAAATCTGATATCTTTTAACTTTCTGTATCATCTTTTACTCTAAATTATGAATTTTATAATTCACTTTCTAAAGACTTCAAAATTTCTTATATATATTGTTCCTGGTTTATAATTTTCTCAGAGTTATTATCTATAATTATTTACTAATTGTAAATTTATTGTTTCAATTAATGTATTTCATTTGTCTAATTCATTATTTTAATATTAAATTTATCAATAAGTGAAATCTTTTAATTAATTTGTGTATCTTTATCTATTAATTATTACTTATACTCTTCCAAAGCCTAGATTTATTCAAGGAGTTATAATTTATTATTCTCAATTATTTGCTGTAATTCTTCTACCCTTTCATCGGTAAATTATTTTTATTGATCATTTTTAAAAGCATTTAATTCATTCCAAGCTTAATCATATTCATCATCTAATTCATCATATTCCTTTTTTTTAATATTGAGTTCCACTTCAAGTTTCTTTATTTTTTTATTTGATTCATTTAATTCTACCTTTAATTGTTTGATAAGAATTTCTTCTTCTTCAAATTTTTTATTTTAATTTAAAATATTTTCATTAAGTTATTTTACTTCATCCAAGAATTGTTAAATTTAGTTTTACTGTTAATTAATTATAATTTCTTGCTATTCAATTTTTGAGAACATCTCTTTCATTTGATTTTCAGTTGAAGTTTATTCTTAGTATGAACTTCTTAATTCTATTTTAGTATTATCAATTTAAAAAGTCAAATTGTTTATTTAAGTTTAATAGTTGTTAATCTCAATTTTCAATTAAACTAATTATTCATTTAATTCTTGGTTAGTTTAATTTAATTTGATTAATTCTTATTCTAAAGATAATTTTTCTTATAGCAATTAATTTTTCTCTATGACTTCAAATTTTAAGGCTTCTAATTAAGAATATGTTTCTTTAATGGTCTTTTAAAGAGAGTTTTATTTAGATTATAACTCTCTATTAGCTTCTTCTAGAGTTTCAATTTTCTTAATATTAATTTCATGAGTTCCAAGCAATTTCTTTGAGTAGAGATTCACCCCTCCTATTTCTTGCTCTTTTTCATCTAAAATCTATTATAGTTCTTAATTTTCAGAGGAAAGTTATATTATTTAATTTCCTTATTTTTCAATTTCTGATTTTAATTATAAAATTTAATTTTAGAAATTAATAAATTATGTATTTTAAGAATCCTTTTATGTTTAAAATTATTCATGTCTAAGTTTGAATTAATTGATTTCTTCAGCATTGACTTAAATTTATAGTTTATAATTTCTTATTTAATTTTATAATTCTGATATCTAATTTTAATGATTTATTTTCATTTCTTAATTTTTAAGATTTAAATTCGATATTTGAGTTTCAAAATGACTAATTTTAATTTTAAGATCTTTGTCTTCTTCTAATTAAGACTTAAGTATTTTAATTTGAGTGTCTAATGAAATAATTTTTTAATTTAAATCTTAGTTAATTTTAATCTAATAAATCAATTTTTGATTTAGTTCATCTTTCAAAGTAGTATATTCTGATGCTTATTTTTGTTTTTCATTCAAAATTTTATTATTTTCTTTAAGAATATCTTAAAGTCGAGATTCCATTTAATTTTTTTAAACATTAACTTATTCTATTTCATCTTCTAACTCTTCTTTTGATTATTCAACTTGAGTTAGTTTGGATTTGAGTTAATTTAATTCAGTTTCTAATTATATACATATTTAGGATTGATTAAAAGTGTTTTTATTTTATTCTTCTTTTATAATTAATTTAAGTTTATGTATTTCTTAATTAAGATTAGCAATAATTTATTCTAAATTGATAATGCTTTACTTATTGGTAAATAATTCCTATTTATGTCTATCTATATCTTGATTAAGTTTGATAACAATTTATGGATATTATTCTAATTAATCTTTTAACTCTTAGTTAATATTGTATTATAATTTAAACTATTCAGCTTTAGAGATTACGTCTTAAAGATCTTATCCTTGAAGCAATTCTAAAATTTCAAAATATAATATAGATCTGTTTTTTAGCTCATCAACCAATATCTTCAATTACTATAAAGTCATCTGACCAGCTGTAATTTAATTAATTAGATCAATGACATGTTGATGCTCTGATTATAAAGATTTGTATTGATTTAAAAGTTTAAGTTACTCTCTTTCAGAGTCATTTAATTTAGTCTGGAGTAATTTGATTTCTGTAGATTATTGATTAATGACAGTATGTAGATCCTTATTTTGAAGATTTGTTTGATCAATATCTAGATTTAGTTTTTTGATTTCAGTTTGAAAGCGTTCTACTTCAACTGCTAATCCAAAGCAAATAACTTCGATTTATAACATTAAAAATAAATGGGATGCGTAACATCGAGTGGAAATAAAAAAGTAAATAACTCCACTATACACAGTTAGAAGACATGAAATAAGGATTTATGATAAGAATTCAACATCCTGACAATAAGACAGAAAAACAATATAAATATTTTGATGAAAAACAGAAAAGCGATTTGATTATGAATGTTATGAATGGCATTTGTTTTAGTGAAAAAGTTTCAGATAAATGTGATGGCAATTTCATTTCTCTTTATGATCCAACAGATGATAGATTTCACTATTACATATAAAAACTTGATGGTATTTAGTACGAACCATTAAGTACTAGGGATAGAAATAGATAATTCAAATGAACCTTTAAAAGGCAAGATTTGGGTTCCATATATAAATGAAAAAAGATAAGATTGGGACACACTTGTTGAAAATAATACAAGAATTTCAATAACTGATCATATATTATGGAAGTTAGAAAACATTAAAAAATGAATTATTGCTGATTATTTGTATTTTCAACGATGATTTATCTTGGATGGTGCTTTCACAAAGGTTTCTTAATTTATGTAATTCATTTTCCCTTCTAAAGTATCATAAATGAATTCCTTATCAATCTTTTCAATAGTATCTTATTTCTATTAATTCTTTCGCACAACCTAAGTGGGAAGATTCTTTTTAGATTACATGTATTAACTTGGTTCTTTAAAAGGACGAATAAAACTAAATTAAATGGATGAAATATACCTTTAAGTTAATTCCATTTCAGAATTTTCAATAATGGTTGAGAGACTTCTTTATTATTAAAATTGATTTCTAGGTTTAGTTTCATCTTTGCATTTCATTTTAATAAACCAATGATGATTTAAACATTAAGCAGATGTGAATCTCTAAGTTGGTTCTTTATTTAACATTTTTTTCATCATATCCATTCCAGATTAAGATAGATTTTTACATAATCTTTTTTCAGCTTTAAAATCTATTTCACATTTTTCATTAGCTCTTAATATATCATCTTAATCTGATCCTTCAAATGGCATTTTCCCAAATACTAAAATATAATATACAATTCCAAGACTAAAAACATCTATTTTTTAATCATAATTCCTTGATCTAAATATTTCAGGTGCTACATAACCTGGAGTTCCACATTTTTTATAACTACCTTAATTTTAACCATTTAATTTAAATGATTCTGAATAACAAAAATTAGATAATAAAACAAATGGTAATCTTTTATTTTCAGGTACAAATAGATTCTCCAATTTAATATCTCTATGAAATACTCCTCTTTAATGCATATGTGCTATAGCTCCTATCAATCCATACATCATATCAGCCAATACTTTCTCTTCTACTTATCCACCTACTTCCTATGCTAATTAAGTTTCTCTCAAATGTTATCTCAAATCTCCACCCATATATGGATCGAACACTTAATAAATATTCATCTCATCTTCATATATTTCTATTAATCTCATCAATTATGGATGACTAACTATACAAGTTATTGGTACTTCAGTCTTCTTAAATGCATTAACTCTTTAAACATCATGTTCTTCTGTTGTGGTGACATTTCTTTACTTATTATTTTTACTAAGTAATATTATGCATCAGAAAGTCTAACGCAATTAAAACACACTTATTGAAATATTGGATCATTATATCTTAATTAGGCTATCACTCTATATTTCCTTGTAAATTTCTCTAATATACAAAATCTCTTTAACATCATAAACCACTTTTTAAACTAATCCAATATATCTGTTACAAAAAAAGCTAACTATTATCCCATCTATAATCTAAAACCATATTTATAAGAAGGATATTATGCATCATAATGATTAAACTTTTTCAAAAAACAGCCTCTCAAATAACAACAGTCTGTCTAATCTCCAATAAAACGAAACATTCTATCAGGTTATAGTTCGAATAAATAACTTTCCCATGAATCATTTTCATTTTTAAATAAAAGTTAACCTTATAATATTGTTAATTATGATTCTCTAGGACTTGTATCAGGATGCCAAAATACAGATGTACTAGGAAGAGTTTCACCAAATACACTCTAAAATGAAACCACTCTCATATTATTTTATGTTCTATTGTTGTTTCTTCTCATATTTAATTATTATTAACTTTTAAATTTCTATTTACATTCTTTAACAATACTTTCTCAACTATATTCAAATCCAATATCTAAACTCTTTTTCTATACTTTATTCTAACATTATAGTTCTTAATTTCTCTATTTTAAAAACACAGATCTAAAAATACTATTCTAATTTAACTATCTAAAAATAGATTTTTTAACAATTAAACATTTTTGTCAATGAGTCTTATAACATTCAAATTTGTTAATTCATTAACCTTTTCAACAAAAAAAAATTTAAATTCATCAATATAATTATCTAAATATATTAAATTAACTATTCAAATTCAATTTTAACATAATGCCAAAGAATGGTATTCTCCACAGGATACTTAGATTACATCCTAGAGATCTAACTTTATTGGTCTAATTATAATAAAATATGAAATTACTATTCAATGAATCTATTTTTATCTCCTAAACCTAATTGATCAAAAAAATTAAAACCCCATCCCCAAACTTATTTAGTAGCTGATATTGCTAAACAATGTCTTTTTCCAACACTTATCTACTTAATCTTTAACAAACCTTCTATTTACTTAGGTTATTGAAGGAAAGCAGGAATAGTTGACATTAAATGTCCTAAATTTCCATTACTTTTCTTTCCACAACTATAAACATCTCCATTATTATTTATAAATAAGGTAATATCTTCTCCACATGCTACATCAATAGCTTTAATATCCAATTATAAATTTAAGTAACAATCAGAATTAATCTTATTTCCCAATTAGCCCTATTACCCATTTCCTGTTGTAAATACTATTCCATCCTATCTAATAAATGCAGTATGATTTGTTCCTAAAGATATTTTACTTACTTTTATTCCTGTACTTGTTGGCACATTGTAATTTCTTTTCTCCTCTAATCCAAGTCTAAAATCAATATTAGATCCCCAACTATAAAAGACATTCTCTTTACTTATTGCTGCAGAATGTGATCTACTTGCCTCTATTTATATTATATTATTTAATATTTTTATTGGCTCATCAGAATTAAGGTATGATTCATTACCTAATTATCCTTCATCTCCAACACCCCAAGAAAATACTTATCCTAATGAATCTAAAATTAAAGTATGTTAACATCCACAAGCTACTTAAATAATATTATTAAATTAAATTTATTTTTGAGGTGTCAAATCATAATTCTTTCCCCAAACAAATAATTATTATTCAATATTAATAGCTGCTGAATGATAATACCCACATGAAATGTATTATAAATTTTATATTTATAGTTTATATGGAATTGGTTAACTAGCTAATGAACCAGTTCCAAGTCGACCATCTTTTCCAGATCCCCAAACAAATAAGGCTGTTTTATCTCTCTCAGTAAATTTTGGTGTATTTGTTGATTATCTAATATTAGGAGTAATAATATTAGTTATATTCTATAATTATTATTATTATTGTTATTATTATTATTATTAATTTTATTATTAATAAAATTATTATTATTATTATTATTATTATTATTATTATTATTATTATTATTATTATTATTATTATTATTATTATTATTATTATTATTATTATTATTATTATGGTTACTTAAAATTTTACTAAGAATTTAGACGAGAATCATTAAGATTCTTTGAGACATTATTAAATGCTTATTATAATACCTAAGTTTTTTTGTTAAATTGTTCATTTAATATTAATTTAGACTGTTTCATCCAATTATATTCATTATTAACTGTCTCAATATATTTCTTAAAAGTTTTATCATCATAAATCTTCTAATTTTAATATGATAATTCACCAATATTCTAAACCACAGATGTTATTTCATTGAGTTTATATTATAAAGCATTCATTGCTTCTTAATAAGCAGATTCTAAAATGGGCATAATTTAATGTGTTTGGTATGATTGAAAATCTGATTAAGGATTTAAGATTGATTAAACATAAACATTATTAAAGATAGATTCTTCTTACAATTATTTATTTATTAATTCTTTAAATTACTATACAAAAACTTTTTATGTTTGATTGCTAAGAGGATTATTTAATCCTTTAGGCAAATTACAGTCTTAACAAAGTTACATGATTTAATTGTATAAAGATTGAATTAATTACTTATGCTATTGATTATAAACATCTTTAAGTATATTTGTATCTTCAATAAACTTTTATTTATCATGAACTTATAAACCAATATACTGAATAAACACATCGATTATTTGATCAAAATTATTATTTGATTATTGTTATTACAATTGCATCTTTAATTAATCTCTTTCTATTTTTAAGTCATTTAATTCTTTTTATAAACCTTCTATAATTCCAGCTTTACTTAGAGATTCTTATTTATAAATTTTATTTTCAACTTTTTTTGCTCGTTGTGCAAATCTCAAAGTTGATAAAGTTTAATAAAAATTCATAGAAGCAGGAGATAATGTACAAATAATTGTTGTATAGGAATTTCCACCCAAAGAATTTTATAAATATCTTGTGAGTTTTGAATCTCTATAAGGAATATGTGATTTCTTGCCTTCAGCCAATTTATTGATAACATTGCTTAAAACAAAAAGACTTTTATTGATATAAGCAGTTTCATCTGAAGCATCTTCTTCATTTAATCTTTCACTACCAGCCAAATCTATCAAGCTTAAAGTTGAAGTGTGTGATTCATGTTAAATAAGAATTTAAAATATCGTATGAGATCTAGAGGAATGTTCATGAATCTATCTTTCTCTGTACATACGTTATTCTTCTCCATCGCATAATAAGGACAAAGCATCATCAAAGTTTTCTACCTATTAAATTCTTAACTAATTAACCAAAGCCTGACCATTAATGTCCTACATTTTTAGATTGGTTGCACCTTATTATAACAGGTCATTAATCTATTAATTATATAAGTTTATAAACTTGTTCATTGTATATTTCAATGTAACTAATAGCAATTGGTAATTGACATTCTTTAAATAAATCAAGCAATGTGTATGGTAATAAGCCAGGGTTTTCTTAATCTCCAAGCATAGTATAAGTTTTGCCAGATGTAGTTTATCCATAAAGAAATAAACTGGAATTGAATCCTTATAGAGTATAATTCAATAACTATTTGCAATGCTTGTAAATATCTTCATTTTTATCATCTGTTGAAAAGATCTTGTCTATATTAGACAGGGACTTATACCAAAAGTGAATTAATAATTATAGAATGCATCTGCATATCTTCTTGTTGTTTAAGGGTCTCTTGGTAATGATATTATAGTATTTGTTTCTTTTTATATCTTCCATGCTTCTTCATCTTCATTTTAGAGAGGAGGTCTCATTCTTACAAAAATTTTAATGGCTTCGTTCATATGAACTAAATAGAGCAGAGTCAAATTTCAAATTTTTAATAATTATCTGTAACTATTTATAAAAAGGTAAAAATGTGTTTTTGAGAAATGCATCTTATATGAAAGAATATTCCATTTTAACTCTTTCAAATTTATAGATTAGTTGATTAATATTATTTAATGTTTATTTGTTGTAAAACGAAGATTAAAAAGACAAAGTATGTTTAAACTTAAAGTTTTTTTAATTAGATAACCAATCAACAATGATTCTGAAGTGAGGTCATTCAACAAAGGAAATGAAGAGTAATACAAACAAGAAAAGAAAGATAAGAATTCCTTTGAAGAACAGATATCAAAATAATCAAACTAAACTGAAGAATGCAATTAAGAAATGTATAACTTAGTGAATTAAATATAAGTTTTTAGAGAAAAAGGATAGATAAAAGAAAGGTATACTTGTTAATTAAATTTAGGCAGTATTGATATTGAAAAAGAATATGTAAATAGTTTATTATCAGAAGATCTTCCAATTACTTATTTTATTGAATATCGTTGGGCTCTCCATTATACTGGATTTTTGGAGAGAAAAAAGAAAATAATTCCAAAGGAGATTAATAATAATAAAATATTAACAGTTGAACATAAAATAAAGGATACAATTCATATTACAATATAAAATGATCCATAATTAATACCTAATATTTAACCAGAAAAACATTATTCATTAGTAAATGAGAGAGCTTGGAAATTCATTTAAACTCTATATGGAGGTGGACCTACAATAACTATAGATTTAGATAATGTTAAATTATAAATACATTAGAATGAAATTAAAGAAACTTAAGTTGTTTAACAAAAATGTTAATTAGAAGCCAATCAATTGGAATAAATTAATGATGAACCAAATAATGGTCTTCTACTACCTCTTGAATCTCAAAAAGATCTAATCAACGATTCAACTACTCATGTAACCGTTACAACAATTTTACCATTAAAATTTTCAACAGATCCTCTTATCAATATTAAGTTTTCATCATAAAATATTGATGATTTTGACTAAACTACATCAAGGAACCTTAATGATAAAAACTAAACTGTTTAAACAAATATTATAAAAATTTATTCAAATATTCCAATAGAATTACCTATTGTGGGATTTTATAATCCAAAATATGATTGTTATATGAATGCTACACTCCAATGTTTATTAAGTTTTTCTAAATTTAATCAAAAAATTCTAAAAATTAAAAAATAATAAGATAGATTATTTACAACTGCTTATTAAAATCTTATTAAATTAATTTAGAATGCAATTCCTGGTAGTTCAATTACAGTTGATTTATTAAAGAATATCTGTTAAAAGAAATTTAAAGATACATAATAATAAGATTCTCATGAATTTCTTTTATTCTTTTTATCACAAATAAAAGAGGAATTAACAGAAAAAAAAAATTAAGAAAAAAAAGAATTTAATACTGCAATAAAAGCTTGGGAATTTTATTAAGGCAAAAACCCTGATGTAATTACAGAATTATTTGCTGGGTAAGTTGCCAATAAAAATTATTGTTTAAAATGTAAAAAGACATGTGAAGTTTTTGATCCTGTACTAGATTTAAATTTACCTTTATAAAATTATGCTGTAATTCAAGAAATCAAATTAAAAGAATGTTTATATAGTTATTTTAGAGAGGAATAAATATTAAACGAATGGGTATGTAATTTATGTTAGCAATAAAATAAATATCTCATAAGAAAAATCTTAATAACATAGAAACCCTAATTTCTTATTATTCACCTTAAACGTTTTGCTTAATTTCCAAGAAATTAAAAAATTTAAAATGAAATTTCTTATCCAGAAGTCTTAAATATTTAAGAGTAATTGTTTTTTAATTTTTAGATTTTGTGATGAGAATATTACTAAAGCTGAGTATAGGTTAAAAAGTTTAATATCACATTAAGGTTAATTAAATAATGGACATTATAAAGCATATGCTTAAAGGTAAAATGAATGGTATGAATTTGATGATGATATTGTAACTAAGGATAAAGGAAATAGACATTTAACAGATAAAGGAGCATATATAATATTCTATGAAGCTATATGAATACAGATAATTATCCATCTTTATATCTTACATTAAAAATATATTGATATCAAAATTTAGTTATTTTATATAAAATCAAGATTTTGTTCTCTTTTCATCTTTCAACACTTACACTCTCCAACTTTCAGAAAACTCATTAAATTTCATCATAAATTCTTAATGAAATCCTATGCCTTCTTGATCAGGGATTTTTAATTTATTCATATTATATTATTAAAGTTGCTGTTAAATTTTTTTTTATTGCTATTATTACTATAACTATTATAACTATTGTATTTTTTATTATTATTAATTGCATTTTGATAAATCTATCTTCATTTTAACTGAACTTTTACTCTCTGTAGCATAAGTACTATTTTAATTTCTATTTTCAAATCTTCTAATACTCTCAATAATACTATCATCATCTAATCTTCCATTATATTAAAAACTAGATTCATCAGAATCATTTACTACTGAATTATCAGCATCATGAAAACTTCTTTCAATTTTAGTTAATATTTATCTATAAATAAATTATGATTATTACTTCTTTTCTCTATTAGATTAATTAGGTTACTCTGATAAAGAATCTTCATTCAAAACTTCCTCATTATATATTTTCTCTATATCTATTCCAGTTCTACGAATAGCTAATACTAACTTAATTAATTTTGCCTCTTTTTCAGACATTTCTTAAATTTTTTATTGCATTAAAATAGTTATTTCTTTTAATTTAGGAGTGTCTACAGAATCAAGATCTTTTTATTTTTTATCTTATTAAAATGGAGAATCTCTCTCTTTTTCTAATGTTTATTTTAATTAAGAAACTGTTTCTAAAAGAATATCTCTTTCTTATTCAAGAGATTTATAATTATTCTACCAAATATCTCTTTCCCTTCTCATTTATTCAATTAGTTCATTTAATTTTAGATCTTATTCATAAACCATAAGGACAGCAGAATTTGACAGTAATTCAAATAAATTATTTGCTATTTACATAATTATATCTGACCATTATTATTCAATTTCTCTGACTTAAACTTATAATTAATTGAACATATTCTTAAATTATACTGGAGTTCTAGCAAATTACTTAATAAAAAGATCTTTAAATGGATCCCATAAACCTCTTTATTTTAAATATTGCTATTTCTTTTGTTATTCCAGAGTTGATCCTTGAATCTATTTATCAAGATTTAAAAACTAATCAATTAATTCTTTTGAATGACTTGTTTATTATGATTATGCTTTTTTATGTGTTATACTTTTTTCTTTTAACATGTTTAATTAATTGATATCAAAATCTCCTGATTTTTTGTAGGCTGATTTATTTTATCTACCTCCTGGACTGGATGAATCACAAGTTAAATTAGATTTAGAACTTAAAAGACTAAAAATAAAATTCATACACAAATAGGTTAGTATTATATGCTTAAGAATCACCTATTATTTTCTTTAATTTCAGTGCATTCTATGAATTATAAAGAGAATCATCTTCCAATTAATTACTTGTAAAACCAGATATACGACTTTTCGAACTACTATTAGTACGATTATTTAATTCTGATAGATTATTTTTATTCACCTTGCATCTTTTCTCTTCTATAGATTTAGATATTGTTGGCTATGGTTTAAAACGTTAATGACAATATTTTTAGGGAATGTGAAATAATTAACTAGATTCTGGTATGCTAACAGTCTTTCTAATATTTAAATTCACATACAGGTTATGATTATTATTTTTTATAATCTTATGTTGACGTTTTAGAAGCTGTTTCTTTAACACTATTCGGAGTTGTTCTCATTTATTCAAAGTTCGATAAATTTAATTAAATTAACAAATGTTTTATTCTGTTTTATTTTTCATTGCTCTCACGACACTAGTTTTTATAACTTTTATACTTCTCAATAAATCACAATTACAATTTGAAGAAAAACTAACCTCTAAAACTATAATCATATGCCTTTTTGGCCTTATTGTTTTAATGAATTAAATTTAGCTAATGAGTTAATTCAAATCTACAAATAAACTTCTAAATATTTTTAGTGCATTGGATTTAATCGAACTACCATAAAATATAAACATTTAAGAACTCAATGTTCTCTTCAATAAAACTAAAGGAATCTATTTAACAAATAATACTTTACCTTATAGCCTTTAATAATAGTTCGAGAACACTTAAAAACCTTATTTGCATATAAATTTTGATCATTATTCAGCTTTAAATATAGATTCCATTTATTTAAATAAGAAAATGAGTTAATTATATAATGAATTGCTTTAATAAAAATAGCAGCCATCAATCTTAATTATAAAAATTGAATCAATTAATACAGAATTCTTTGAATATTTAGAGTAAATATTTGAATAAAGTGAATGCACTTTGATATTATATGGATCTCAAATTAAACAAATTAGACATATTTGTAATTATATTGACCCTTATTAGAAGTGCCATCTTTTTATAGATTTTCTTAGTAATTACTAATATGAATTATAGAAGGTTTAAAAAAAAAAAGTAAATATAAAAAATGTATAAAATTATAAATAAATACAATATCTACTGAATTTTTTCACTCTATGTTCATTTTTCATAATATAATTTTATTTGATCGATTTCCTATTCCAAACTGAAGATTTTGATTAAATTTTGGAGTCGAGTTTGGAGATTCTTGATTTTTAGAAATAAATTTTTTATCTCTCTTTAAAATAAATTCATCATCATTTGAGATATCAATCTATCGATAAAGTTGAATTTGTTATTTAGGATCTGGTCCTAGAGCCAAACCTAAACACATTTTTCTATGTGAGCTTAAAATTATAAGTGATTATCTATGTTATTAAAATTTGATTCTTTATTGATTTTAATTCTGCTTTTGACCAACGCAACCCATTTTTGTCTATGTAAATAAAAATTTAATAATAATGTTTTTTAAGAGTGAAATCTTTGAATTTTTTGTGAATAATAATACCTCATAAATTAATAATACAAATTATCTAATTACATTATTAAGAAAGATAATTATTCAAAATAAACTTTTTCTTGATTCAATTTAACAATATTAAAAGTAATAAATAATAGCTCTCATATTAAAATAAGAGGTGATGGTGATTCATATATTCTTACTCAATTTCATTTTAAACTTATAAAGATTTTCAGATATTAAATAATGTATATTTAAGGAACATAATCATAAAAAAATTAATGGCAGTATTTTTTTAAATGAATAACCATACCAAAATCTAACTTTAGTTAAAATCTTAGAATTTCTTAATATATGATATTCAATTGATCAAATTTCATCAAAATGACTATATTTTTAATGAAAATTGAAAAATGAATATTTAATAAATCCTAAATGAAGTAATATATATTTGATATATAGTTAATGGGTTGTATTGTCTTGAAGATTCTGGATTCTATTATAAAATACAAACAAATTAAATTTTTCCAAGAAAATCATGATATTAACATCCTTATTTTTGCTGCAACCCTCAAAAAATTTGATTCAAGAGCAAAAGAATTTGAAAATAAAAGAAGAGTCTAAATTAATTAAGAAGAATCTAGAAGAATATAGAGAAGCAATAAAAAAAATATTTTGAAAAAAAAAAAGGAATCCTAGTTAAAATATTAAGAAGTATATAAAAACTAATTTGAAAAATAACGAAATCATATTTCATCATCATCATTTTTTAATAGTATATCATACATTAAAAATTCAGGGATTTGGAGAATTCCAGATCAATAGAATGATGTGACTAAGTCTACTATTATTTGATTTATAGATAAAGGTTTTTAAGCCATATAATATTTGTAAATCATGTATCAATAAAATATTAGTAAATCATTCTTATTTTATGAGAAATGTGATCTAATACAAAGCAATATATAAAATTAAATCACAATTAAGGGCTATTCCTCAAAGATAGCTTTCTCCTTTATTCTGGAGAATTCTTGATATACTTGAATGGGCTTTAAGTAATACTCTGTCTCTTATTAATGTATTTTTAAACTTCGTCGCTGCTTACCATATGTCTCAATCTTCTTCCTATTTGAGGAGAAGGAGAAACATTTATTTCACTGATAACTCTATCAGCTTTTGGTTCAGTTTTTAATATTTTGCTTTCTTAATTTAATTCATTCTAATATTGACTGTTTTGATTAGTCGTTCTCATTTAATCTTTTGATTTTAATTTTGTTTTTTAAGCAATGCAGCCCATAAAATTTATCTTATGATAATAAAATTAGCTTTAATTTTATATTTTTTTTTTTGTCATAAATATTTTATATTTTTGATGTAGGCAATCTATTTAATAAGAACCACCATTAAAAAATTATTGCAAACATCAAGTTAAATATTTTGACTATAAAAATATTATGGAATAATGAATTTTATTAATTAAGTTTGTTAAATATAAAATATATATTCATTCTACCTTCATTTAAAAAAGGAAGATTTTTCATATGATTCCCCTTCCTTATTGTAATTTTAGATCAACTTCACTAAATTATAATCTGTTAAATATTTAGATATCAATATTTTTTAAGCATTTTTTTTTTTATTAGCCCTTAAATTTAAAATTAAATTTTACTAGTAAATTGTTATTTCATAATTATTATGAGTTAAATAATTTTCAAAAGTATATAGAGTATCAAAATCATCAAAACCAAAAGCTTTGTTTGCATAGACAGGAATCTATTTGTATTATAAAATAAAACCTACTTCTTAAGCACTAAATGGTAAAAAACTAGAAGCTAGATTAGAATATTTTGATCCTATTCTTGTCATAGATTTTCTGTAAGGAAAAATTAAGTTTTAATTTTTATTTTCATCCTAAATTTTATTATCTAATAGACGAGATTGTTACACTAATTTTTAAGGGATCTAAAAACTAGATTTTTTTATATATTATTATTAATAGACACTTGGTTGTTTGTATTAACTATTAGTTAAAGATCTTGAAGAGTTTAATCTTTAACTAATAGCTTCAGGATGAAGGTATGTGCTGTTTCTTGAACTTTATTATCTATATGTACCAGAACCTTAACGTTAAAAATTTGTTTGATTTTAATCACACATTAGTGATTCAAAGTTATTATTAAAAGTTAATTTTGGATCATTGTTTTTTCTTCTGAATTTATCATCCATTGAATTTTTCATGCTCATCTCAGTCTAAAATTATTTCTAACTTGATTCTTTATCTTAATTTGAATCTGAATCTTCTTTTTCAATTATCATATTGAGTGACCTTTAAGTCAAATCTTTATATGTGTCTTTATTTGAAGTTAATCCACTTTAAGATCCGAAACCAGCTGTATTAAAAGTTCTTTTTTGTTGATCTGTTCTAGCTTATGAAGAAATATCTTAATTGTGATATTATTGACTATTATCTTAAATAAATTAAAATTCATTATTTTAGTCCATATTTAATCTATTATAAATAATTATCAATTACATGTAATTATCATTATTACTTACTGATTACTAATCAAACCCAGATTATTATTTTAAAAAGGATGTAGATTTCATAAAAGATCTTTCTTTGCTTATTTTACTAAAACAGCTAGCACAAGAATCTCGTATATGATTCTCCTCTATTTGAATTTGTGTTTAGCTTTGTTAAGAATTTTGTAATTACTCTCCAATTAAATTCTAAAATGCTATTTCATAATCATTAGCTTTTTTATAAAAACTGAAAGCTCTAATATCTTTATTTATTTTCCTTTTATCTTATATATGTATTTTGATATATTTTACATTCTCTTCTATACTATCTATGAGGAAAAACAAATTTTTTTATTATGAAACTTAAATCAGGTTTATATGTTAGATAGGGACAACTAGTGAGTGAATGTTTTTAAGAATTACAACAATTACATTCTGATGGCTATTTTTCATTCAAAAGCATCAAATCTCGTTGTTAAAAAAAATATTGCTAAGTTTTAATACTCTAATACTACTTTCTCATTGAAACTTAATAGATTTAAAAAAGTAGATCTCTAAATCTTTATTAATCTTGTAATCCCATTTGATGTTGCTGTTAAATCTCTTAGACCTTCTGTGTAAAAAGATAGTTCACCAAAAACAGAGAATTAAGATAATGTTAATAATATAATATTAGTTCTCGATTTCAAATTTACAGAACCTTCTAAAATAATATATAATGAACAGTCATCTTTTTTTCCTTCCTAAAATATATATTGGTTAGGTTAACACAAAATCTCTATGCAATTATCAATAATTTAGTTTATTGTTTCATTATTTATATACTTGAATTATTTTTTAAATAACTTTTATCTCTAAACTATATTGTATTCTTTAAGCAATTTATTTGATAGTTTGTGTGTAAATTCTTTATGACAAAATTTTGGTTAATTAACTACATAGCTTATAATCTTTTGTTTTAAATTAGAATCCAAGTTATTTTAACTCAAAAAATAGCTTAATTTAGACGCTTATTAATCTGGTTTAAAAATTTGAATCAGAATAGATAACTAATAAGCAAACCAATAAAATGATAGAATTGAGATACAACAATAAGCCACAATTTTATTATTATTATCAAAATAAGTGAAATTAGAATTGAATGTTATTAAGCTTACAATTAGTTAAATTTTTTTCAAATATATTGAAATAAAATTTCCTTCAAAATCTTCTTCATTTTCTAGATTATAAATCCAAAAACATGTAAGAATATGAATTAATAAAATTTGTTTTACAATTAACAATACTAATTATTGATAAACATTAAAAATATTAAATTCGCTTAAACAGAAATAAAAATATTTACTATTATATATTTTTCTGTAAATCTATTAATCTAGGTTATATGCTAGCAATATTTATTAAAATAATGATCCACTAAATTTAATATTCTATAATAATTAATATCAAGCTGATCACAAATATCTAAATAATATTAAATTACTTACAATATCAAAAATGAACAATGTTTTGTAGTAATTTTTCAAGATTACAACCATGTTTCTCTCAATTTCTCCATTGTTAGGTAAAGCGCTACAGGCTTTTAAAAAACAATCTATAATTTTCAATACTAAAAATAGAATTTAATGATTTTTGTCGCTTAGAGGAATAATAATGAAATAATAAAAAAGTAAGAGATAATAAAATATGTTCCAAATTTTCAGAATAACCGAATTTGGAAGTAGAACATCTTTAATTTTTAAAGTATTTTACATTATTTTTGCAAATCCAATAAATCCAAATCAATTAAATGTAGGAATTTACTAATTTTCTCATTCATTTTTATTTTATTTCTTAATACATCTATGAATTTTTGTTTCAATCTAATAGGTTTTTTCTGAGCAGGCAAATCTATCAAATTGCTAGGTTCAAAATTTGAGAATTATTAGAACCTACTTGCTTTAGGGTTAAATGACAATTTATCTTAAGACATCTTTAATACCTTGAAAATAGCACCTTTTGATAAGTATGAATGGGGGATAAGGACATCCTAGATTTTTCTATTGTTTTTACAGTAGGATCTCGAACTGAATGATCATCATCGGGTTAATCAGGATGGCCTACTGTGAAAGGCGTATATTAAAATGGTCCTATTTTAGAATTTCATATAACCTTTAAATAGATCATAGTTATTAAAAATTGGTTCTGTTTTTGGAGAAATTACATTATCATTTCTCATTGAATGATATAAGTATTTAATAATTAATTTTATATGATTAACAATATTGTAATATAAAATTCTGTTCTCATAAAATGTAATCTTAATTCAAAATAATATTTCTTTTCCAGCTTTTTATACTATTAGGCCGTTTATTGAATAGACTATATTTACAAAATGTTAGAACTATTTATTTTATTACATAAATTTTAAATTAATCAACACTAAAAAATAAATTAGTCGTGTTGTAAATATTTTATTGAAACTTTTAAATATTCAATGAGAATAGCATATTATGTTTTAGGTTCAATAGTATAATATTTTCTGAATTATAAATAAAGTTCAAAATATTTATAATGGAAACTATTTGTAAAAAAATCATTTCAATAAAATTAAGGCTATTTAGCAATTATTTTTATTTTACTATAATATTACAATAATAATAAATAATTTTTTTCAAGATATAGTCATGTTTTTACAAATCAATACTTTGAGTGTCATATAAAGAAATATTGAATTATTCAATATGTATATGTATTACTATTGTGTCTTTCAAAATTAAATAAAATCAATCGATAATAGAGATTGCCTTATTAACATAATAAAAGAAAACTTTATTTATTTAGTTTTATTTAGATTATTTTTCTTTTAAACTTTTTATTTATGTAAAAGCAAAGTCATGATAATTAATTTTATTTTATATTTTTATATAGAGTGAAATTATTTAAAATTTTCTCTTTTCGATATAATAAATTGTTATTCATTTTGTAAACAACTTCATTTTAAATATTTGAAAAATGGTTAGAAAATACATTAATGAGAATTCTATATGTATTTTGATGCTGCTGAAATTATTTTATAGAGATTTAATTAATAACTTTTTTTGAAAAATTGTAACATATGAAAGCTTAAAAAAGATAAATTTATTTACTTGATTATAACAATATTGAACTTAAGAATGATTTTGAATAAAAATGATAGTATATTACGAAAAATGATTAATAAAATTAAAAAGCAAGTTATAATATGGTTTGAATATGATATAAATAATCAACTAAAAATGTTGTCAAAAAAGGTATTTTTTTCTTTCTTTGGTTATGGTTTTTAAGCTGGAAGTTGCTTAGCAGGAGGAGACTGTTAAATAAAAATAAGAATTTACATTTCTTCTTGGTTATGATACTGGAGGACCGTATGATAATGGTGGAGCATAAGAAGGTTGTGCAATTCTTGAAGGAATAAAATTAGGTTAGAGATATGGAGTATATTAAATTTGAGATTGCTAGAACATAGGTTAAAGTATAGGTTAGACTGGAGCTACATATTAAGGAACTTATTGAACAAGAGATTAAACAACTGGTTATGCCACCACTTATTAAACTGGTTAATGAACTACTTATCTCTCTACAGGATAATATTCAACTCTATCTTAAAATCTATCAACAGGAACATATTCTAATTAATTAAAATTAAATTAGATACCTGTAACTTTATCATAGAAAACTTATGGGACATATTCTGTCTAATATTCTATAGCTTAATATTCAGTTATATATTTTTCTCTTGGTACTTATATTCTCTATCTAACTTCTTCATATTCAATAACTGATTTTTCATATGGAACATACCTAAATAAATATTAACTTTGATTTATACTCGATTCTGCTTTCTCCTTTTATAACCTACTAAGCTGGTTAAACAGTAATTGGTTGAACAAGTGGCTAAGCTACTGGTTAAAGAGCAACTGGTTGAGGAACATATTAAACAGGTGCACCAACAAAAGATTGTTAAACAGGTAAATATGAAGGACTTGCAAATTATACTGGTGGTGCATATGTTCGTGGAGGGGAATATGCAACAGGATGTGATGGAACTGGTTAAACTTATTAAGGTGGTCTGGTTGATGCAGGATGATTACTCATATTTTAAGATTAAAATTTTAATAATTTAAAGTGATCGTTAGTCAATTAATTTAAAATAATAAATTATTCAGTTGTTTATTTTAAATGTATATAATAAAGTAAATGTTCTGTTCAATATATTTATAAGGATTTAAATTTTAATAGAAATAAATATTATGAGAATTTGTAAAATAATATATATAATAACCAACCTAAATTTGTTATGCTTTTGGTTTTTTTAATCAGAGTGATCTCATTGATTATTTTAATTAAACCTTGCAAATAATCAATCAAAATATTTTTCTTATAATGTTTTTGTTTAACAAATTCCAGATAAAATTA